CCCCCCCCCCCCCCCCACCCCCCCCCCACCCCCCCCCCCCCCCCCCCCCCCCCCACCCCCCCCCCCCCCCCCACCCCCCCCCCCCCCCCCCCCACCCCCCCCCCCCCCCCCACCCCCCCCCCACCCTCAGATCCACTGCCTTGCCTAGGAGTGCCTTCCGCACCTGCTGCCCTTCTGCTCCTTCCAGGTGCGCATCCCACAGGTTTTTTCTCGCCCCTCGAAGTAGACACCCTCTCGTTGCCTCGAGCTGGAGATCACTGACTCGCATGCTGCGTACTTCTACTTCGTCGCACTAGGGGCATGCCCATGTTCTACCTTGCGGAGGGGGGGGGGGGGTTGCTGTATGCCATACAAACGCCGGCTCCGTATTACAATAGGAACCTCAACAAAGGTCCGTCCGTGCGCTAGGGATCCTGCCACATTGGTGCTTCAGATTCAGCAAGCCTCCGCAAGCCCAAAGCCCTACTCATTTTAAGACCACTCCGAGCGCCTGAGGCTCAGAACCCCAGGACAAGGTGCTGCGTTTTGAGCTCATAAGGCTAACCAGAAGATTGCAAACAACAGATGAGTACGTTAGACAAATAATACATTGATCTGTATTGCTGCAACTGCAATTTGCCTGGCAGGTCGCGAAGGCTGGGAGCATCTGGGCTTCATGCTCCAACCTCCGTCATGAAATCTTAGAGAGCAGCACATATGAGCCCCTGGCTAACGTACCCCTTTTGAAGGGGATTCGCTATCCACGTTATTATGTAGCTAGGATGGTCCGGGGCTCGAGTGTTATTATGGTGCCTACATGGGTCCCAGAAGAATTCTTAAGACTAAAACCCTAAAATCCTGAAAGGCTTGGTTCACCCTAAAAACTAAACCTAAAACCCTAAATACCCTGGTTCCGCATGCACCCTTCCCCCCCCCCCCCCCCCCCCCCCACCGCCCCCATTTGTGGGAAAGGTATACTTCCGAAGAAGCTTTGATGCCATCGCTGCGGGAGACCTAGATCGCTTGTGATTTCCTCACCCGCCCAATCAACCCTAAACCCCAAAACCCTAAACCCCCCCCCCCCCCGAGGTGGCAGCACAGTGCGGAGCATCCGCCGGAGAACTTGGTTCGGCTGCTGAAGCCCCATGGCATCCTCGTGCGCCTTTGCCTTAAGCGGAAGGGTTGAGGGTTTAGGGTCCTTGGTGGGGGGACGGGGGAGGAGCCCTGGGCGAGGGAGGTAAAGCCTATAGCTCCAAGGGGTTAGGGGAATTTCTGTGTTTTTGGGGGGCTTTTAAATAAGCGATGTTTTGGTATGTGCGTGTGTGTTATACTCATAAGTCGTTGTTTCGATTATGTGTTGGCTTCAGTCGATTGCTTTGTTTCTCAGGTCTTATTCTAGGCACCGGAAGCCCCCAACAAAATATACAAGCTCCGTGAAACTCTCTCAACTTCTGCAAAATGCCTGTGAGGTGCCCCGTGGGCCCCGTGGTTCCCATCGACTCCGCCCACCCGGGAAGGCTCCGAGGGCTGCCCATGTCTATAAAAACCCAGGGTGTTAGGTTTTTTTTGGGGGATGTTTGTTTAGGATTTTTTTCGGCTTTAGATTGTTGAGCTTCATTCTGGTCAGTTTTGTTTGTCGGGTGGGGGGGCTTAGGGCGTTTGGTTTTCTGGCTTTTGTTTTAATGGTTTTTGGGGGTTTTGGTCCAACCCTATATTGGAGCACTGAGGCGCTACTTCATTCAATACGAGGTTTTTGGTTTACTTTGAACCCCACACTAAACCCTTTCCCTATAAACCCTGCATCCTAAACCCCGCTACTCCTATCGTGGCCAGGTTTCAGCCTTACTGGATGGTGCAGGCCTGGAGGGGCACCAACAGACACCCTGAGCCCGAATAGAAATACCCTCCCTTACGTACCCCCAATAGGGGCCAAAGGTAACCTTGCTAGGGTATTCACGGGGTCTTTAGGCAAACTCAAACCTTAACCCTAAACCCTCAGCAAAGCCCACGAGGCCTTATGCGTCTCAAGCCCGAAATGCCTGAGCACTAGAAGTGCTACTGCTATGTTTTGGAAGCTTCCAGTCGCTGGTACAGGCTTTCAGTGTTGGAGTTCACGTCTGCTGCAGCTGGAAGTCTGGCCTGGGGGATGCGTTTTTGTTGCTGCAAGTGCCGAGCTCTTTTCGATCGCCTGCCCTTTCTTGAAGGTTGTGATCATGTCGAATTTGGGTTACCCACCAGAAACTCGAAAGGACAAAGCACACTGCTAAACACTGGCCAGCCCACCTAGGAACCCCTCCTCAAAAAAACTCACCGAGCCAGCCCCCCCCCCCCCCCCCCCCTTCGGGAGTCGGAGGGAAGCGGTTTGGTTTGACGTTTAGGGCTTCCCACAACAACGCCAAACAGAAAGCACTCCTCAACCCCACAAGCCTTGACCACATCAACCCCCCACTATAAGCTTTGAAGTTCCACTCTAAACCGGTAAACGCTTTACACCAGACAAGCCCTGTAAAGCCCGATACTCTAGGCTCTAGACCCTTTTAAACCTAAACCCCCCCGCCACACCCGACCTCGCAGATGGGAGCCGTTCCGGGAGCCGCGCCGGCCTACAGCGGGCGCGCCGGACCCATCTCAGCCACCCGAAAGGAAGAAGAGAGGCCAACCAACCAGCCTGTCAAACCTCTTATTTCTAAGCCCTTCAGAGACCCATGCTATAAGCCCCTTTCGCCCTGTTTTCGGGGACTCGTGCCGCAGACGGGACTTGCGTCAGCTCCCCCGTCTTGCGTCAGCTCCCCCGACCCCAGAGGCCCCTAGGCACTCCATACTTCGCCGACTTCTGGAAGCATTTGGTCCCCCTAAGCTCAAAACCCCAGCACTTTGATGCAAAGGACTTGTGGGAGTTTCTCCAGAACCGCTCGGGAAGAAATCTTCAGACACGCCATATGGGTCCTACTGTTAAGGGTTTATAATGTTAACGGCTTAGGTGAACTTCCTTCCGCTGCTGCGCCCCTTGATCTCCAAGTGTCTGGAGCTGTTTGGGCCACTTGGCACTTCGGAGAACCCTGAGTCCCATCCAGAAAGGGCGAAAGGCTTGGGGTTCTTCACCCCGGGGATCATAGCTCTAAGACTACACGGCACCCCAGAACCACAATCCCTTAAAGCATGCAGCCCCTAAGCCTTAAATCGGGCTGCATTTTCCCAGTGCCTGCATGCCACCCTCAAGTCGGGCTTAAAGGATGCCGCTGGCCATGGGAGGGCCTCACACACCCCAACACCAAACTCAAAGATCCCTGAGAGGGTCCGACCTGTTTTGGGGTGAGGTCTTGGGTCTGATAGCGCTTAGGGTGCTACAATGATATGATTCATCCGCTCAATGATACGCATGCTTTAAATCATAGAGGTCCAAATCCTGTCCTGAAACCCTGCCGACCCTATAACCCCAATCACCCTCAGGCCTTTAGGCCCCAGCCCTCTTGTACAGCGCCCGGAGTCTGCCTTCGACCTTTGAGCTGGCTGGCATTTTAAAGTGCAGAGGTTCTTTCCAGCACCTGGCTCGGCTCAGAAAATCTCAGCTCGTTGGGGGGATTTGCCTGGAATTTTGGAGTGAAAAGTTTAGGGCAGTTTAGGGAGTTGTAGGCTTCGTATAAGGTCTTTAGGGCTTGAAGGTGCTGATTAACGATCTCTTGGGATTTCGATATTAGGGTTCCGGGATTGCCCGCGAGAGCAACCTGGACCACCCAAAGATGCTCACTGCAGCTCTTCGTTCCCACTGGGCTGTCCCCAGTTGTACATAGCCTGGGCTGCAGTCGAGGACCTGACATGCCCTAACTTTAGCCCTAGACCCTCAACCCTAAACCCCAACAAAAAAGCTGAATGCAAGTTCCTGAACAGCAGCCCAGCAGAAGGCAGGGTCGTCTCAAGTTCTCTGAGCACCCATCGGAAAAGCCGGCGCTCTGAACGGCAGCCAAAGTGCTGCAGATCATGGTGCGCAGCTCGGAAACAGGTCGCATGCTGATACACTAGTCACTAGTTATCAGGTTGCCATAGCGCTTAGGGCCGTTTAGGGGTTAGGGTGACATGTGAGCGGGGGGGGGGGGGGGTGGGGCGTTTGTGGTCGCAGGGCAGCCACGAGGATTCGGCATGGGAGTCAGGGCGCCAGGTAGTATCCGATGTGGCGGCAACCACGACAAGCTTGAACACCTGTCACACTGAGGTACAGGACCCCAAACTACTTCGAGCGCAGAGCAAAAACCGCTCAAACCCTCCACGCCGAACCCCTGAACCCTACATGCAAAGAATCATGCCGGAAGGCACCACGAGCTTCGCAGAGGGCGAGTGGGGTGGGGGTACAGTGCGAGAAAGCCTTCGGCAGAACGTGGCTTGCTCGGTCTTACTGTAGCTCTTCAACTCTAAATGGAGTACCCTCACCCAACCTGAACCCTAAGCCCCAAGCCCCAAGCCCCACTATACCTAACCTCCCCCAAGCCCGCACCTGCCCTATGAACAAGGGGGGAAGGGTTCTGCGGAAGCAGTGGGTGCCTCACAGCCCATCGACACCAGATTCGGAAAGCTTTCCTGAAAACAGATTCTCCATAGATTGTTAGTTTGGGACTTGGAAGATTCCAGGGTTTACCCCTTCGGGTACTATTTCGTTCTTTTTTTTTCTCTCCCTCTCTCTCTCTCCCTCTCCCTCTCTCTCTCTCGCTCTCTCTCTCCTCTCTCTCTCTCTCTCTCTCTCTCTAAGTGCTTTTGACATCTATTTCAAGTTTATTGACAGCCCCCTATATCTCGGAGTTATACAGCATCCTCCATCCTGGCAGCACCCAAACCTCAAACTCCAATTTTTCTTACACATTATTCTGTTGCCCGTTTCGGTACTCCCACTCAAACCCAAAACCCACCGAAAGGCCCAAAACCCTAAAAGCCCCAAAACCCTAAAATCTAAACCCCCGAAAGCCCTCAAAACACCCCCCCCCAAAACACCCTCCTGAAACCGGAGTTCCACTTCTCCCACCCTCCTGAGGATGGGAGTGTGCAAGGTGTCCGCTTCTTCTCACCGGTCCTTCCTCTGTGGGTTGGGGTGAGGTTTGGGCCGATTTGGCGTATCGTCCGGGAAGCGGGACAGTTGTAAAAGCGGCCTTTCATCACTGAGCCTTGCTTAGGGGTTCAGAACTTTACAGGTTTAGGGTTTATAGGGATTAGGGGTCAGAATGGTTCAGAGTTTGAGCCTCCCAGGGTACTTCAACTGCCCGCCAAGCACTGCCTCTTCGCGCGGGCACAGAATCTCCTGCGGATTCATGCTCCTGGGCTGAAGGGTGGAAGGGCTTCTAGGGGAGCTTGAGGTTTTGGGGTTTTTGGGGTTGTCTAGGGTGTTTATGGTTTAGGTTGTTGTGGCCTTGGATTTGGGCCGCCTCTTGGGGATGGAGCGGAAGAATTGAGTTGGATGATGGACAAGGGGGGTGGTGCCAAATCCTCAAAAGCATCATCTTGTTTGCTTCCCTAATGCACAGCAGCTGCTAACATGGTTGGGTGCTCGAAGCCCTACACAAACCTCAACCCTCACCTCATGAGACCCCAGCGGCCCTTATTCAGAGAATCGGCCATACAGAATCTCGAAGCCTTACCCTGAACATCCTAAGCCCTCAGCCCTACCTAAGCCACGTCATACTACGAAAAGCGCAACAACGAAGACCACGTCTCGAGCTCGAAATCCTAACAGGTCCAAAATTCTATACACCCTCATGAAGCCAAGAAAACGCTACACCCAACAAGCCTTCCTAAACCCTATAACCCTAAGCCATCTAAACCCTAAAGCCCTAAACCCCACGAGCCTGCACGTTTCGCAGGCCCCACACCCTGCAGAGCCTGCGGCCTCGGTGCCCGACACACCCGAAGCCCTGAGAAAGGCCCGTGGTTTCCCTGGAGGGTTTGGAGCCCGAAACAGATTCGAAGGTTTAAGGTTTCGGGGTTTAGGGGTTTAGGGCTTGGAGATGTGTAGGGTCTTGGTTTAGCATTGAGGTTGTAGGGTGCAGTGAAGGGAAGGGTTGGGGCTTTGTTCGCAGGAGCCGCCTGGGTTCGGCGCCCAAAAGAAAAATAGCCTACTGGTTCTTAGTTGAGAGTGGGGGAATGAGTACCTTATGTCCCCTACGTAGCCCTTTAAGGAATTCACATTGTAGCTTCCCTCATTCCCATTCCGCACCAGTAAGATATTTCAGTATTGTTCTTGGGTACCCTAGTTCCATTTACACAGATGTCATGGGGCTTGAGGCGTCCCACTGGGTTTTCTTGAATTCGGAGCATTCGATTCAAATTGTGTCTAGGGTTCAGGCCTCGTAAGTTGCGGCACTAGGCACCAGGATGTTCGCGGTATTCATGGTGTTGGGATTCAGGACATGGAGGTTTAGGTTTGGGTTTGTTTTGGGGTTAGGTGATGGCATGGGCCCAGGCTTATTAGTTTTTGGCCTTAGGCGCTTAGGAGTGCGGCTTCCCCCCAGAATTCTCATTCGATACACGGTAAGATGGCATCAAGTCTTGATATGGCAGGATATATATACCAACCAGCAAAGTCCCTTTCATTTGCACGGCAGAACCCGTAAATCCGAGGCTCCAGTTGCAAGGTGCCAAGGATCCCTGATAGAGAACCTTAATAGACCATCAACCTTCACCTGTTGTTGCTGCATCCCGGGATTAAAAAGGACTTCCACAGATATCCCTCAGAGTTCTCCACATCCCAGAAAGATAAGAGGTTGGTAACACCCAGACATCTTGGGGCGGGGTGTCCCGCGCTTGGGAGAGGTGCCACGCCGCGACCGCGAGCGTTCCTTGCTCGTCTGCGGTTTGGGAGGTGGCATGGGATTCTCACAGGGCTTGTAAAGGAGGATGACTGGGCCAGGTGTGCTTAGCTAAGGCCTTAGACACCGTCCAGTACACCCTATATATATGATATTTATATGCATGTATATGGGTATTCCCCAAGGTAGGGGTACCTTTAGTGTGCCCAAATACTCTTGTCCTTCCTATCCACCCTGAATACCCTGTCTTCTTTTTGCGCTGCCCTCAGAAGAAGTAGTTGGTCCATTCTCTGTGTATATGCTTTGGCCCCGTGGGTCGGGTTCGAGGTAGGCCATTGACTACCTGTCTGCCCTGAAATCGACCTTGCACCCCCTGAAACCCTAAATCCCCAAAAACCCAGAGAAACTTTTTTGTTTTAGCTCGGTGAGTCTGAAACCGTTAGCGCAGAAACCTAAAACCCCTGCATCGAACCCTGTCCCAGGTCCTACGCCTTGTCCGTGCGGAGAGGACGCAGGCGCGAAAGCAGCGCGGTAAGGATGCGAAGGGCTGTGATTTGTTTGGGAAGGAGCGACTTAGAGCGTTTAGGCTCATGGGGCTTATGGGGTTTAAAGGCTCACGGGTTGAGGGGGGTAGTATACTGCATTTTCAAAGGTCCCCACCATGTCTGCAATCTAAGACATTCGGACTTCGGAGATTTCAGTGTTTAACCCAAGACCTCCGGCTACTATAGTGCCCCAAACCCTGAACCCCAAACCCTGAGTCCCAAACCAGGCCCTGAACCCAAGCAAGACGCACTGAAGCCCCAAACAATCTCACAGCTTTACGCTCCTAAACGCCCGAATCCGAGAATCCTATTGACCGCTATAACCCTGAAGTGCTATAGAACCCTGAAATCCTAGAATGGACTCCTTGAATCCTAAAAGCCTTGATTTCCTAATTCCTTGTTGAGTCTACAAATTCCTTGAATCTCATCCTGCGGCGTGCCCAGAAATCATGACGTCCTAAACCCAAGAACCCGAAATCCTAACTCTCAAAACTTTACATAACTCCAAAAGAACTCTCTGACTCTCTACTCTCATTTGTTGGGTTACAGGTGTTTTGTGTTTTTTGCGGGGTGGGGGGGGGGGGGGGGCTCCCACTATGCCGAGGTTTTTACCATCACAGACCCGAGAGCAATAAACAACAAGCCCTATAAACCTTCTGAAGCGAAAGAGAAATCGACTCTAGGACAGTGCTTGGCCCTGGTCTGCTCACGCCTCCATCCGCAGGCAGATTACTAGGGCTTGCAGGCTTTATGGGTTTCTAGGGTTTATACAGGTTTTACAGGGTGCTATAGGGTTTGCAGGTTTTGCAGGGCTTATAGGGTTCCATGGTTTGGGGTTGTAAGGATTGTTTGAGGGCTGAGGTGCGTTTTGACAGCCTCGGCTGGTGGGGGCGCGGGGGGACGTTGAGGGGCTACTTTCCGCGTTTCTTGACGTGATGAGCATGAAGAGGTGTTGTAGGGCCTTCGGAGTTAGGGTCCACTGAGTCTACTGCAGTTGGCTTGCGAAGTTGCGAGCTTAGAAAACCCATCTGCGTGCTCCTCGACAAGACCCGAAACCATGGAACCACAGCATCATGCGCGCAATAGGCGAAGCAAACGCTCCCTGGACACTTAGAGACTTAAACTTGACGACACTGCTAACCCTAAGCTGGAATCCGCAACCACACATGAGCTTCCGCCAAATTCCTTCCGCGCAGCTCATGTCGGATGCACGTAAGGATTCTACCAGTTTCCTGGTGCCCCCTAGACTTGACGGTATATACCGATATTACTGGAAGGGGCTTGTAGGACAGCATGTCTGCACAATGGCCAATTCTTGCAAGCCTCGCCTGGCGACCTCCTTTCTTCAGGGCTTGGGGCAGAGTGGGGGTTCGGTTCCTGGCTTGAAGACCGCCTGAATATGTTCCATAGTTATTATTTGCTGTTCGGGCTCGTTAAAGTTTGCCAGCAGTATCTTGTGGTTTTTGGGTGCCTGCGCAGCCGCAGACCTCGACACGCGGCCCTGAGCCCTTATCCTAGAAATAGTAATTAAATAGGCAGTTTGTGTTCGGTGTAGGTGATGGCCTTGCCAGATTTATTGCTGTTAGTTTTCGTGTTCTACCCTATGAAATGAGCCTTATGGTTGATCTCTTTTTGTCATTTTTTATGATTGCAGGCCGATGTCCTCCGAAAGGAGCCGGGCACTTACAACCATCTGAACATGCCGCCTTTGTGGCGGGGCGGGGGTGGTTGTACAGGTTTGGTGTTGAGCTCTAAAACTGTAGTTGCACTGAGCCGCCTTTGAGCAATTTCAATTCTTTAGGAACCGCAGTGGTAGGATTAGGTTCTCGGGCAACACTAGATAAACATGTACAGGTCACTTTTGATCACTCAGATTCTGGGGAACAACGTCTTTCGGGCCCACCGGAAGTGCAGAGGGATACACACTTAAACCCTAACCAAGATTCCCCCAAGGCTCCCTGGGCGCCCACTATGTTTACAGAACCAGGCTAGCTGCGGCGGTGGAGACCACGACTTTGTTAGGCTGCGGCACGTCCTGCCGCAGGCAGGAGAGGGGCGCCGGTCGACATGCATCATGCATCTCAGGCTTAGGAGGCCTAGGGGTGAAGGACAAAGTGCTTGGGGATGCTTTGGGATGATGGGATTTGAGGGGTCTAGGGCATGGATTTTGCACCCGGCGTTAGCTTCTGTAGGGTTCGTGGTGCCCCCGGCCACGCACCAGGGATAAGATGTCAACACAGCCCAAACGCCTAATTATTGCCCTGAATCACCCTCCCCTAAACCCCCCAAAAAAGCTCAAAGCTAAGGCCAGCCCGAAATCGTTCCCCCCCGTCCCCCAAACCCCCCCACCCCGCAACCGCCCTGCTCGGCAGGCCTCCAGGCGTGTAGACTTCCGCGAGGTGGAGAGCGGCTGGAAGGTCGGAAGTTCGCCTGCTGTGCCTTAGCAGCCCAATACATGTTTGTAGAGCAGCCAAGCATCTTCAAAGGTGCCCGAGGCCAACAATGCCCGAGCGGCCAGAAACACATCGGGCCCACTCGGTTAAGATTTCCACTATCTTGGTACTTTTAAATGGGTCCAGACCTGAGTGGCCCGTCCGCAACGTCAGCGATTGGTCCGAAAGACTTTTTAGACCACTTGAAAATACATTTACCCCCGGAACTGCTTGAGATTTTGCAAAAGAACAAATCGGGCCCATTGAGCTTCGCAAAACTGTAGAACAGGCCTCGGGTACTTGACTGCGTATCATCCTACGACCCTGAATCGAACCCAGCCAAGTTTTGTGCAATGTAAAGAAGTCGAATTACCTTCTCTCTTATCCGCCAAGACCACCGGCAAATAGCGCATAAAGGTCCTGCGCACTTAGGGCTTTAGACGTTGTTTGGTGTGGGTATTGGGGTTTATCCTCAGGGTGGGGCTTTGGTGTGCGATGTTGCCAGAGGGCATCGGAAATCGAGGCTAGTTGAGGCTTAGGATGAAGAAAATTGGCCTTAGGGTTTGCACTTAGGTTAGGGTGCAGGGCTGCCAGGCTTTCAGTTTAGGTCTTCTTTGACCTTCACACATGTTTACGACCAGCCTTTGGAAAGTGTTTCTTGGCTTAGCAGGCAGTCCTTGGGTTTCGAGTTCGCAGCTTCACTGCAACCAAAGTCGGAGAATGCAACCCCTTATGGGGACATTCTGACCCTGACATTGGGTCAAAGCCTCTAATCAGGGTGTGATCTCTGGGGAAAATCAAACCGGGGAGGAAGCCCGTCGTCACCGGTGTGAAAAGAAAAGCCAGGCAGCGGAGGAGGTCCACAGCCTCAGCCGGGTAAGAACTGAGCTGCCCCGCTCGGTGTGTACCCTAAACCCTAAACCCGAAACCCTAAACCCTAAACCCGAAACCCGAAACCCTAAACCCGAAACCCGAAACCCGAAACCCTAAACCCTAAACCCAACCTCTTTCCACTTGCAGCTCTGGGACTTCGAGTTCTGCCGCCTGCGGGATGCAGAGGCCTGGCGGGCGCCCAACGCCCCGAAGACTCGGAAGCCTCAATCACCTACTTGTGACCTACTTGTGTATTGTTTTGCAAATTTTCCGGGGACCACAATGAACCCTGAAATTGGGGTCGTGCACCCTATACTACTCAAAGTCCTTTCAAGGTACATGATAGGGTTTATGGGTTCATTTGGTCCCTCTTATAAGGTTTAGGGGCTCCCTTTTAGAAGATACCGTACTATACAAGGGACCCAAAAACTACCGGGTTTGGGTTTGTCGGTTTGTAGGGTAGGGGTTTGGGTATGCCAGACTTCCTAAAATTCCCAGAGCCCTGGAAGTTAGTGGGTCCACGCGACGGGATGTAGGCTTTGGGGCTTGTAGGGAGAAGCAAATTTTGGGGTTTAGGTGTACAGGAGCTTAGAACGTCTGATCTGCTGATTTGTTTCCATTGTTCTTCAGGCCACGCGGATGCCCTGGTCTTGAAATTACTGTACGGACACTAAACTTGACGGCTGTTTCCTCTTTGCCGAGCACCTCCGAACTCACTTATCGGTTTTTGGGACCATCGCCCCATTACCCCAAACTAGACCGGGATAGCTCTCTGCGTAATTCTTGATCGGGCGGGGCACAAAGGCCTGAGCCTTGGCTGGGGCTGCAGGGTGTCGGGGTTCAGGGCTTCTGGAGGAGAGGGCTCAGACGTTTTGAGGGTCTCAAAGCCCACACCTGCAGCCGACCAGGCTCTACATGACAAGTTCTTCAAGCAGATGAAAGACATCGAGGAGGTTGACCCTCAGAGTGTTGGTGGAGGTCAACTAAAGCCAAGACTCCCCTGAGGTTTCAGGCATGAGGTTGCGAACGGAGAGTCCTTTTTCGTAAATGAAGCTGAACTCGTTTCTGGCTTTCGCTTGAGGTGCGATGCCTCCACATGGAGGAAATCCAGAAGGAGCCCGCGCAAGCCCAGGGACCATGGCCACATCCCATTTTTCTTAGGGGAGCAGCTCGGATGGAAGGAGATGCGGAGGGGCCTCACCGAACTGCGCAGCGAGGTTGAAGGCTTTGCTTTTTGTTGCGGCGGGCCGGGGGGTTAGGGGTTAGTTAGGGATTTAGCACGTCGTACTCGAGTCTTCGAGGTTTTGGGGGCTTATTGGGCTTAACTAGGAATCCCGGGTCCTAAGCTCCTAAAGCTACAGTTACAAGGGTGAGGGCTAGGCCGGGCTAGGACCCCCTTTTGCTCCTCTAGCTATCTTGTGTCCTTCTCTGGGTTGCAGAATGGAAGGAGATGGAACAAAAGGTTTAGAGGGCTTTCTTTCGGCGAGTTCTCCAGCTTCCTACAGGATGTTAACGGTTGGTGGGGCCCAGGGGCTTCGAGCCTCAAAGGTTTCCTTTGGGCTTATTGAAGTGCTGCAGAATTCCCAGCCTTCCAACAGATCCTACACCCTCAAGTTTGCATCCCACCCCAAAACTCTCCATAAACCCGGCCTGCCAACCCTAATGGCCAAATCTCTAGATGTTGCATTTGTGGTATACACCCCAAATGCAAGCGCTCGTTTTTGAAAAACACTGAAGCCCCGGACGGCGCACGATGAGCAAACCTCTTAAGTCTCAAACCCCTTGCCCCTATAAACCTCCCATAAACCCAACAGAGCCCCGGAGGTCTGCGCGGGTTCCAGGCGCCTGGGCAGGTCTATAAGGCTTCAGGTGTTTAGGGGGTTTCGGGTGTTGAGTTCAGGGGCTTTAGTGTTCAGGGAGCTTAGGGTTCAGGGGTTGCTGGGTTTAGGGGAATTTCGGGTTTAGGCGGGTTTGAGACCTCAGATGCTGAAGGTCCGTTCTGGCCTACATGCGCTCATGAGGATGAAGGTTTCGATGCTGCTTCTGTGACTTGAGGTCCTTGGAATGAGACAGTCGACAGTGACCTCAAGTGTGCCAGCATGCTCGAATGAACATGTTCAAGAAGCATGCAGCTGTGCTCAACTTAACTGTCTTTGTGAAACCTAAGACTGCAACAATCCCATACGCATGCAGTCATGATGAAAGGTTGGGACGTGCAGCTGCACGAACACACCTCAGATTTCTGAAGTGCAAAATGCTGTCATGTAGCATTATGAGGAAACGAAAAGAAAAACGACCGGCTCGACCCACCATACTTTGCTGTCCACCGCCAAGCAGCTGCAGTGCGATGTCATTTCTGACAATCTGCAAGGCAACGCCTTACCAACTAGGCTACTGGGTCCCCAAAGCCTCAAATGCCTAAAAGCTTAAACTGCCCAATCCCAAACGGAAGGCACAACCCCCATTACGTCTCAAATACGCAAATACAAAGTATGAGAGAATTCAAGCAATTCCGTTAGATGAGCTTTGGAGGTTGAAGGTAATAAGTCGTGGATTGAACGGCAAAATTAGGGTGTAATGTTTCGCAAGATTGAGGGCTTACGGTTTATAAGATTTAGGTTTTAGGGATTCGGGCTCTGACGCCAGTCCCTTCGCGACACGCTGGCCGCGTCGCTGCAGCCAATTCTCGATGAGTGCTCCGCCTCAAGTGAGGGCTCTTCTAAATCAAGACTCCTCTTCGTGGGCTGCCAGGAGTCCATTGTTGTTAAGTTGTTGTTTATCATGTTCCTACGAAGCCGCAATCATTGCTGTCTTTGCCAGCGCTCCTAGAACAGCATATCTGCATGCCGCATCTGCAAGGGGAGCCAAGTTCGATCAAGCATCAAAGCCGGATTCATCGTTCTTGAGACTCCTCAATCCCGAAGTCGCTGAATGGCGTGAAATCCTGGCCACAAGGGGTTTAGGGCCGTTTAGGGCTTCGGGTTTCAAGGCTGCAGCAACAAAAGCGCAACAGGCCTAAGATAACCCCTAAAGAGCCGAAGAGACCCAGGGTTGAGGAGTTAGATGTTGGAATTTGTAGGGTTCGCATATGGCCACGGAGACACCCCAGGCTTTCCGAGCTCCGGGAGGCGGTTGTCACCCAGGTTCCCCTCTGCTCTCTTCTAGGGTTTAGGGTTTCGGGATGTTTCGGGTTTAGGGTCTGGGGGTTAGGGTTTAGGGCTTAGGGAACCGATGATCGGAGGAGGGAGGGCTAAACATATGCAGCGTTGCATAATTGATCATTGTTTTTGGGGTTACTTGTCGCGCGTGTTGGGCTTGGTCTTAGTAAGACTTTCTTTGGTTTTGAGAGCACTCTGTTGCTTATAAGGGTGGGGATCTGATCTCCGTGAAGCATTGTGTAGAGAGCTTATGAACCAAGTCAGGGAAGCAGGCCGCTACACACCACACACCCGAAAGCCCTAAACCCTGAATCCACAGCTTTGTCGCATTGCCAGGTTCAACCGAGCAAGGTGGCTGCATGCAACGTCGACAAGGCAGCGGCGGCCCAGGAGATACTTGCGATCCCCTAAAGTAAAGCCTGGCGTTGTTCTACATTCACAAGGGCCCGGAATTTGGAACAAGCCACAAGTCTTCCCGATCCAGAATGCGTAGTCTGCAGAAAATATTTAAATATTCAGGGTGTGGGGGGGGGGTTTTCGTCTTAGGCGGAGCAAGGTGGCCCCCAATGGCCCCTTATTTTGGGGCTTCCTTTGCAGGGACGTCCTTGACTGGAATACCATCATTCTGCAGAGACTACGCGACCAATTGGGTTCCAAAACAGGTTCATCGGGAGGAGCACGAAAGGCAGCAGGAGGAAGCGGCCACCAAGATCCAGGCACTTTCCAGGTGTTTGAAGAGGAGTTGGCTCCGAAGAATTTGTGGTGTCAGTTGTACGTACTGTGTGGAAACCCTGCATACTCCCGGTAGAGATGCTGGCTGGCCCCCTCAACCAGCCAACCTCAGTTTCGAACCCGCCAGACCCTAAACAGCGCAACCTCGATTGTGAGTGTTTTGAGGGCGGCGTTTGGTTCTGTATCTCTTGGAGCCCAGCATCAGAAACCAAGACTATGATAGACATTCCAAAGCCACGTCCCAATCGACTGTGTTGGGTTTAGTTTAGGATTGGACTTGTGCAGCTTATCAGGTGCATGTAGGTTTAGGGTTTAGGGGTTAGGGTTTATAGGGTTTCTAGGGTTTATAGAGTTTATAGGGTTTATAGGATTTATAGGGTTTATAGGGTTTATAGGGTTTACAGGGTTTAGGGTTTAGGGTTTGGGTCTGCCATGAACCCCTTTGAAGCCCAAACCCCACCACGGCACTGAAAGGCGGTCCACCGCGGCAACATGGCGCGGAAGGCATCTGGTACAAAGCTCACCTTAGACCCCATGAGATCTGCATGGTTTGGAGCCACATAATTCAAATTTCTTGCAGAAAGCTCTAAAAACGTAGGTGTTGGGGGGTCTCATGCCGGCTAAATGTATGTCTGTACATCCGTATCTGTTTGTTCTTTTTGTAGGGTTCAAGGAGCTTATAACAAAGATAAGTGGATGCGAAAGTCTTGGAGGTTGGCTCTGTGGCTTCCAAACCGCCCGAAACAAGACCCTGTTTCAGCCACCCCCCAAGTCCGAAACCCTAGAATCCCTATGGAGCCCCGAATGCCCCAAAGGATATCGAAACCTCCCATTGGATGATCCGGTTCTGATTCTATCAACTTTGGTCACTGGCTTTCAGGGTCCTCGAGAAGGAACCATAGTCGTTTCCCGTTCTCCCGGAAAGAGCACGAGCGGCGTGCTGCCAGGATGTGCAGGACCAGCATGGCCAAGCGATCCCCAAGATCGAAGTCAAAGAGGTCGTTAGTCTCGTAATTAGTCTTGGCATTGGACGTTGAGTTGAGATTTCTTGAGGTGTAAGGCCTCCGGCACCGGACAACCGAATTCTGCTTCACGGATGACGTTCAGAATCTCAAAACATGCCATTTTTTCGTAGGTCGCCCAGCAGCTCTGTAAGTGACTTTAACAGCAGTTGCCTACAAAAATGGTAGGTTTGGAGTTTCATCAGGGAGGTGTAGGTGTATGCCAAGACGACTGCACAAAGGCGCCAAAACAGCAGCAGGAGGAAGCGGCCACCAAGATCCAGGCGGTGGGTTTACCTGGCTTGGCTTGGGTTTAGGAAGTCGTATGTTTCTAAGGCTTACAAGGTTTAGGGTTTAGGGCGTACGTAGCGTCTTCAGGCGACAATGTTGCTTATACTGTGCTGTATGTGTTTGTCTTTGAAGGAGGGGCCGAGGTTTGAATTTGGGGTGTTGCTTGAGGACTATTCGAAACAAACGTTGGACAGGGTACCACACCTAGCGAAGGCTAAGGAGCCCCTTTCATTCTGCCAGCTAGCTGTTCGAATTCGACACGCCTCATCGGAAGCAGGGCCGGCTTAGGGCTTGGTTTCAAGGATTTATAGGTTCTAGGGTGTGTAAGGCTCTGGGCTTTTTAGATCTCAGCATCCGGTCTGGTCTAGGTGGACGGGCCATGAGTCCCGAGAATCCGCCTCTCAGAACAGGCAGTGCACCGCGGAAACGTGGCGCGGAAGGCGGGGCGCGCGCCTGCCTTGCCTGCGGGTGCCGTTTTTGTGCAATATTCGGGTGGCGGACCACAAGGATTCCCTAAACTCGTGAGGGTTTATAAGTACGGGGTTCGGAGCCTAGAAGGCATATTGTTTCGGGTTGGGTTTTTTTGCCAAAGCTCAGAGAGCCTAGTCTGGGTCTAACGCTCGAGTTGGACATCTGTTGAGTTAACAAGGTTAAGTGTTTAAGAAAAACAGGCGTTTCTAGTTTCTCCTTTACCGATTCGAGTTAAACTACGACCCCCCGGTCCCCCCAAATTCATAGCATACCCTGAGTCTTGAACTTCAACCTTCAGCACCGGTTCTTCTTGTTCCAAACCCTAAAGCCCCAAAGCCTCCCCATGTTTGCCCGCAATACCAAAAGCTGCCCTCTTCCATACGTCGGAGTAGGGCCCATGGTGGGCGAGGGTGGGGGTTCAAATGACTCCTAAACATGAGCCACGCTGCTCTAAGATTCCCGACATTATTCAAGAGATCACAGTATGACATGGACCAGAATTGGGCGGAGGAGGGTGGGTGACCCTGAGCCCCTGATGCACTCATTGGGCCACGTGACCAGGAGGGGCACCACAGGCAGGAGAAAGCGGCCCAAAAGATTCAGGTGCCCCGCAGGGCTTTTTTCGGGGCTTATTGAGGGTCTTCTAAATAGGCTATAGGGCTGTTTAGGTTGAAAGTTTAGGGTTTATACAGGGTTTGATGCAGGTTACACGGGGAATGGTCTTTAGCCTTCGGGCCGCAAGCTACAAAGCACGTGAAGGCCATGGTGCCAAGAAGCGAGCTTTCCCGGCAAGACCAGACCCAAACCCCCTAAGCAGCTCTGCCACCTTGGATTCTGCAGATTCCTACGGGTCGTGTCGTGCATGTGGGCAAAGCTGCACTCCGCCAGGCGGACCAGGACCCACAGAAGCATGAGGAGGACGCGGCCACCAAGATCCAGGCCAGCATTTCCTAACGCTCCGCAGACTCTAATTTTGGATTTTGTAGGAGGCAATCTCACATACAGTGCTCTTGAAAGGTTTATGGGGTGCGGTTTGCTATATGGAGTTGAGCTAAAAGTTTCGTTCTGGTACCCTAAGCCATCAGGAACATACTCCAATTGAGGTGCAATGTCGATCAACCCCCGATATGGAATCCTTACAAGTACGGCATTTGGGGCCTGAGGGGTTCAGAGTTGATGGTAGGACGTTTTGGGCTCAGGGTTGAGGGTTATAGGGAACGGTTTGGGGGTGGGTATAACTCTATTCGCGGATCTAGACTTGATGTCCTACGTCCAGAAGACACCCTAAACCCTAACCCCTAACCCCTAACTAGTCTGTTAGAACTGACTGTTAGAAGGCAGTTCACCGCGGGAACCTCGCGCGGAAGGTCAGCGACTCTGGGGTGGTCCGTGAAACGTCCCTAAACCCTAAACCCTAAACCCTAAACCCTAAACCCTAAACCCTAAACTAGGGATGTCGGGATGAAGGGGGTTCAGGGCAGATGGCTTTAGCGTAGCCTCTGGGGTATCAAGGGGTATGATGCGTGGGCGTTGAGGGCGCATGCTTACCTGGGGCTACTCGGCACAAAAGATCCCGCTCCCAACCCCAGTTGGGTGAGGGGTGGTATAGCATGGGTCGTTTGTGAAGTACAAACTTCTTCCAACAGTTCAAGGTCTTGTGCGAGCTGTTCGTTTCTGATCTTTGGTGGGGGCTGGAAGCATCTGCACAATCCGTTAGAAGTCTGCCCAAAAAAGACGCCTTGCCTGAGCACCACACGCACACGTGTCTCGTCTAAGCCTAGGAAGCCGCGACTCACCAACATTGTCTTGCGTTCAGGGTCATAGGGTTTAACTGAAAGTCGAGTGCGTCGCAGACTTCAATCTATGCGGTTCTCCCTCTCTCCCCCACTAAAGCACCCAACATCTGCAGTGCTGAAGCTCCGAAGATCTGCTCGGGCTTGTGGTTTGCAGTCTGAGTTGAGAGCTGGGAATCCCATGTGCCAACAGGAGCACGACGCGCAGCAGAAAGAAGCAAAGCAGGTCCAGGCCAATACCGGGCTCACCATGCTGTGCTGTCACGTCCCCCTTCACGTGGCCTGGTTTTTTTTTTTCCGTTTGTCTCGAGGACGCTTCCTGCATATTGCTGACTGCGGGGTTGAAAATTCAACAACCCTACTGAACAGCACGACCCCTGTACGCGACCGACAGGAGGAACAAGACCGGCAGCAGGAGCAAGCGGCCACCAAGATCCAGGCGTTTGTTTTAATAGTCTGGCACCCTGAACCAAGCTATACCCTTTGTTGTGGGTCACACGAGTGGTTCAGGACCTTCCAGCAGATTTCCTACAAGCCTCTGCCGACTGATAGAAGCTCATAGCCCACATTGCTGCAAGCCTTGGTTTCCCATGAACCCCAAGAACCCCGCACGCTGAACTGCCCAACGCAGGCGGTCCATCGTGGGAACGTCGTCCGCAAGGCTGGGTGTGTCCGCAGGGTGCAACTTCCGATGCGGTCGGAGTTCGATGTTTTGGGGGGTTTGCGGGTATAGGTTCCACGGTCAATTTTGGGGAAAAGTTGGCATTTTTGGCCTGACTTGGCATATAGACAGACGGCACTTTCAAACGCTGTGCCGTGCACTGCATGGGTCGCCGGGACCAGCGGCACTCAAAAGGGCTCAACCCTTCAGGTTGCACCTGAAATGGGCGGTGCTGCTTGAGTTGGGGGGTCAGCAGCCCCCCGCAGACTCCAAAAAGAAGGAATTTGTGAGTGCGTCGACTTTGGAGTGCGTTGCAGACTTCAATCTATGCGGCTCCCCCCTCTCCCCCCTTAAAGCACCCAACATCTGCAACAGGAGCACGACGCGCAGCAGAAAGAAGCAAAGCAGGTCCAGGCCAATACCGGGCTCACCATGCTGTGCTGTCACGTCCCCCTTCACGTGGCCTGGGTTCTTTTTTCCGTTTGTCTCGAGGACGCTTCCTGCATATTGCTGACTGCGGGGTTGAAAATTCAACAACCCTATTGAACAGCACGACCCCTGTACGCGACCGACAGGAGGAACAAGACCGGCAGCAGGAGCAAGCGGCCACCAAGATCCAGGCGTTTGTTTTAATAGTCTGGCACCCTGAACCAAGCTATACCCTTGTTGTGGGTCACACGAGTGGTTCAGGACCTTCCAGCGGATTTCCTACAAGCCTCTGCCGACTGATAGAAGCTCATAGCCCACATTGCTGCAAGCCTTGGTTTCCCATGAACCCCAAGAACCCCACACGCTGAACTGCCCAACGCAGGCGGTCCATCGTGGGAACGTCGCCCGCAAGGCTGGGTGTGTCCGCAGGGTGCAACTTCCGATGCGGTCGGAGTTCGATGTTTTGGGGGTTTGGGGGTATAGGTTCCACGGTCAATTTTGGGGGGTACCCCAAGCGCATTGTCGTTCTGAAATTCACCCCTTTGCCCTAAAGGAGCCAGAATTTGGAGAGCTGAGCTTAGGTCAAGAGGGTGGATAAAGGTGGCATTCCTGACGTGGCATAGACCGTCACTTTCAAACGTTGTGCCGTGCACTGCATGAGTCGCCCGGGACCAGCGACACTCAAAAGGGCTCAACTCTTCACGTTGCACCTGAAATGGGCGGGTTAACGGCCCCCCGCAAACTCCAAAAAGAAGAAAAGAAGGAACTGGTGAGTGCGTCGACTTTGGAGTGCGTTGCAGACTTCAATCTATGCGGTTCCCCCCTCTCCCCCCTTAAAGCACCCAACATCTGCAACAGGAGCACGACGCGCAGCAGAAAGAAGCAAAGCAGGTCCAGGCCAATACCGGGCTCACCATGCTGTGCTGTCACGTCCCCCTTCACGTGGCCTGGGTTCTTTTTTCCGTTTGTCTCGAGGACGCTTCCTGCATATTGCTGACTGCGGGGTTGAAAATTCACCAACCCTATTGAACAGCACGACCCCTGTACGCGACCGACAGGAGGAACAAGACCGGCAGCAGGAGCAAGCGGCCACCAAGATCCAGGCGTTTGTTTTAATAGTCTGGCACCCTGAACCAAGCTATACCCTTTGTTGTGGGTCACACGAGTGGTTCAGGATCTTCCAGCAGATTTCCTACAAGCCTCTGCCGACTGATAGAAGCTCATAGCCCACATTGCTGCAAGCCTTGGTTTCCCATGAACCCCAAGAACCCCGCACGCTGAACTGCTCAACGCAGGCGGTCCATCGTGGGAACGTCGCCCGCAAGGCTGGGTGTGTCCGCAGGGTGCAACTTCCGATGCGGTCGGAGTTCGATGTTTTGGGGGGTTTGGGGGTATAGGTTCCACGGTCAATTTTGGGGGTAAAGTTGGCATTTTTGGCCTGACTTGGCATATAGACAGACGGCACTTTCAAACGCTGTGCCGTGCACTGCATGGGTCGCCGGGACCAGCGGCACTCAAAAGGGCTCAACCCTTCAGGTTGCACCTGAAATGGGCGGTGCTGCTTGAGTTGGGGGGTCAGCGGCCCCCCGCAGACTCCAAAAAGAAAGAATTTGTGAGTGCGTCGACTTTGGAGTGCGTTGCAGACTTCAATCTATGCGGTTCCCCCCTCTCCCCCCTTAAAGCACCCAACATCTGCAACAGGAGCACGACGCGCAGCAGAAAGAAGCAAAGCAGGTCCAGGCCAATACCGGGCTCACCATGCTGTGCTGTCACGTCCCCCTTCACGTGGCCTGGGTTCTTTTTTCCGTTTGTCTCGAGGACGCTTCCTGCATATTGCTGACTAGAACCCCATCATGCTGCGGGGTTGAAAATTCAACAACCCTATTGAACAGCACGACCCCTGTACGCGACCGACAGGAGGAACAAGACCGGCAGCAGGAGCAAGCGGCCACCAAGATCCAGGCGTTTGTTTTGATAGTCTGGCACCCTGAACCAAGCTATACCCTTTGTTGTGGGTCACACGAGTGGTTCAGGATCTTCCAGCGGATTTCCTACAAGCCTCTGCCGACTGATAGAAGCTCATAGCCCACATTGCTGCAAGCCTTGGTTTCCCATGAACCCCAAGAACCCCGCACGCTGAACTGCCCAACGCAGGCGGTCCATCGTGGGAACGTCGCCCGCAAGGCTGGGTGTGTCCGCAGGGTGCAACTTCCGATGCGGTCGGAGTTCGATGCTTTGGGGGGTTTGGGGGTATAGGTTCCACGGTCAATTTTGGGGGGTACCCCAAGCGCATTGTCGTTCTGAAATTCACCTCTTTGCCCTAAAGGAGCCAGAATTTGGAGAACTGAGCTTAGGTCAAGAGGGCGGATAAAGGTGGCATTCCTGACGTGGCATAGACCGTCACTTTCAAACGTTGTGCCGTGCACTGCATGAGTCGCCCGGGACCAGCGACACTCAAAAGGGCTCAGCTTTCCAGGTTGCACCAAAAATTGGCGGTGCTGCTTGCGTAGGGGGGTTAACGGCCCGCAAACTCCATAAAGAAGAAAAGAAGGAAGTGGTGAGGGTGAGTGCGACGTCTTTTGAAACCACATATATAAGGCATTACAAGGTTCAATGCAATCATCTGACTGGTGAGGTTTATGAAAGTTCATGAAGCTTCAGCTTCATCTTGGTCAGTCCATTTGTCCCCTACAGCTTCAGGGTTTATCGTTGTTTTCTGCAGTGCCCAGGAGACGCAGGGCAAGCAGGAGAAGGCGGCCTGCAAGATCCAGGCTCCTTCCCGATGATCTCCGAGAATCTTCCTTCAATATCCTAGAATACTCCTTCTGCCCCAAGGCCCCTCTAAGCTTCCTCTTGGGGTGCCCCCCTCCCCCTACCTTAAGAACCTTGGAAGCTTTAGGTTGAGGCTGTTCCACCGTGTCCAGCACAAACTTAACCCCACTGCTATTTTTCGGTAACCCTTACTGGGTTTATTACGATTTGGTTATGTCGCTTTTTCGCAGAATTTCACAGACAAACCTGGCTATAGGGCGAGGCATCCCAAGCTGAGTGTTCCTGCTGTGGGTTGGAGGGGTTTCCTTGCCATGCGAATCCTACTGCACCCATGCAATTTGATCCTCGAGCCACCTTCGCGACCCGGCTGCTGAGATCTTTTGTGCCTAATGAACCCTGCACAAAAAACCTAACCCCGAAGCTGCTGAATCCCTAAACCTCTCAGTCTCCTAAGACTTGCAGGACAGGCAGCAGGAAGAAGCGGCGACCAAGATCCAGGCCGCTGGAAGGGAGTTTGCTTACCTTCGGTTAGCAGGGAATGGGGGAATGAGGTACCCTATATCATCCCTTAAGGGGTATAATAGGGCCCCAATTCCCTCATTCCCTGCTAACCAACAGTCGGGAAGTTGTGTGTATGTGTGTGTGCGCGGGGTTTTTTTGGAGGTTTAGGGCTTGAAGGTTAATGTAAGCTTAGGGCCCGCGTTGAGAGGGTTTATACACGTTGCACCGCATTCAATTCGAGTTTTTGGGTTGGCGGAAAGATTGAACCCGAGCTGACCCGCCCTCTCACAGGCGGTCCATCGCGGAAACCTTGCCCGGAAGGCAGGATCTGGCCGGGTAAGGGATCCATGCACCCCATGTTTCGTAGATACACCCAAGCTTGACTCTCTAGTAGGGACTTCGGGGGGGGGGGGGGGGGGGGGTGGCCCAAATCTTCCCTATTGAGCTACCCAGTACCTGAATAGCTGCAGGGTCATGCAGGGTCCCTTCTAGGCTTGGGGCTGGGCTTCAGGGGTGTCACCGTGGGGAGCGGGTTCCAGCAGGAGCCTAATCTTCTGAGGGTTGGACACAACCGCACCTTGAGCACATGTAGCATTTCAGGGCCTGGAGCGACAACAGGCCACATGCTGAACGGCACACTTGGATGGTTACGGAAACATGCGGGATACTTTCGTGTCTGGCACCTGGGCGTGGGGTCAAGAGTCTATAGGATGTGGGGATATGCATTTTCTTGCTGATTCACCGACTTGTTGCTCCGGTCAAAGAGAGTGCTGTGCCGCAAGAATCCCCTTCAGGGACATGGATGCTCTAGGGTGTGAGCCTTAACCGCCAAAACCCTACAGGTACCGTAGAATCCTAAATAGGATTGCTATATCGTACAAGGCTCACCACGTTTTTTTTGGTGTTGGTACGTGTGTGTTCGGGTCCCTACAGCAGCTCTCCATCGCCTAAACCCTACATCTCGCTGCGGCGATGTGTGCCACCATCAGGAGAAGCACCAGAGCCAGGAAGAGAAAGCTACCTCCAAGGATCAGGTACCGACACATTCCTGAACTTCAAGACAGACACTCAAATAGTCCCCCCGCCAATTGTGGCCCCCTCCCCCTCCACAATTGATATTAAGATGTTGCGATCGTTGGAACATGTATCTATTAATTATTCGGCGGGAGGGCGGAAGGGGGATATTCTTGGACCCGCAAGGGGGCGTAGTCACAGCTTAGGGTCCCTAGTCTCCCTATAACCTCAGAGAAAGGGAAAGAAAGCTAAGAGACCCCAGCTTGCAGCTTGCTAGCCGCGTCCGATGTCGGCTCCGGGACCTGCGGCCTTTCGGGAGTTGCGAGGGGTTTGGGATTTTAGGGGTTTCGGGTTTAGGGTTTAGGGTTTAGGGTTTAGGGTTTAGGGTTTAGGGTTTAGGATCTCCAGGGGGCACGCAATCTCGCCAGGAGGACAGAAGGCAGCAGGAGGAAGCGGCCACAAAGATCCAGGCACATCTCAGAAGCACGAACAGCTCGAAGAATGCTCCACACAAAACTGAGCCCCAACCCATTAACGCACTCTTAGCCCGAATCCCTATGCCATCAGCCCTGATCAGCTAAACCTAACAATCCTAAACCTGTGAATCCTGATCCTTGCCCCCCCAAAAAACATACAAATCTTGTACTCATTTGCAATCCTGTTGCGGCTTATCGGCCAGAAGCCCTTTTCAGTTCTTCCTTCTTCGGCCCGAAGGCATATACAGTTAATCTCTGAAGGCATGGATGCGCGCTCCGCGTCTCATATTCCTAGGGTCCTGAGGCCCTGAAAGCTTGATTTTTTGGGGGGTTGACAAATAATATGCAGCCCAAAGCCCGAGAGCCTTAAAAACCCTGAATAGTCAAAGAGAAAGTACTTCGTATATAGGTCAGCGCCCTTAACCTTGAACCCCCAAGCCCTGCAGCTTCGGACAAGACTCCGCACTTCTTGCGCCATGGATTCTGGGATGATGAGGGTCCCTATCCGGCTCATGAGCGGCTCGCCTGTCGGGTTCAGGGATTAGGGATGATTAGGGTTCCGGCTTTAGGGTTTAGGGTTCAAGCTTCAGGGTTCAGGGGGCTTAGGCGTGCAGATTCGAAGTTCGTTGTTTTGGAGACGGGCTCCACATAGTGACCAAATGAAGCCGACTGTGATAGACTAATTGGCCTGCACACTGTCTTCTCCTCCAGACATCGTCAGGCGGGAAAGTTGCAGTATTGGAAGCTTCGGCGGAGACGACCGTCAGAGAGTTCAAGGAGCGGTTGTTAGGTTGGAACTGCGACAATGAGCTGACGAGAATGATCACCTCAGTGGAGATGATGGCTGGCAGCAGACAGCTAAGTAATGAGGATGAGACTTTGAAAGATGCAGGGGTGTCTTCAGAAGCTGGCTTGCACGTTGTGTTTCGCCAAAACATAGTCGAATGCGCCGGCAAAGGCGAGGCACATGATTTTGACCTCGAATCCGGGAAGACGCTGGTATGGGTCAACATCCCGGAAGGTCATAAGAAAACAAGACATGGTGCCTTCGAGAACTGTGCATCTGTGGCAGGTGTCACCATACCAGATTCCGTTACTCAGATTACCCATCGTGTTTTCGCATCATGCGGTTCTTTGAGGAGCGTGACGATCCCGAGCTCTGTCACTCGGATTGGTGTGGCGGCTTTTGAAAGATGCTTCTCTTTGACGAGCGTGGGAATCCCGAACTCTGTGACTCAGATTGACCGCCGTGCTTTCGCAGCATGCACTGCCTTGACGAGCGTGCGGATCCCGAACTCTCTGACTCAGATTGGCCCGCAAGCTTTCGAAGCTTGCGGATCTTTGACGAGCGTAGTGATCCCGAACTCCGTCATGCAGATTGGCCAGGATGCTTTCCGAGATTGCAGGTCTTTGACAAGCGTGGCGATCCCGGACTCTGTCACTAAGATTGGTGCGTCTGCTTTTGCAGAATGTAGCTCTTTGACGTCTGTGACGATCCCGAGCTCTGTAACTCAGATGGGTGATTATGCTTTCTTCGGTTGCAGCTCTTTGACGAGCGTGGCGATCCCCAACTCTGTCACGCAGATTGGCCAGGGCACTTTTCATCATTGCAGCTCTTTGACGAGCGTGGAGATCCCGAAATCTGTGACTGAGATTGGCCGCCATGCTTTTGTGGGATGCAGCTCTCTGACGAGCGTGGTAATCCCGGACTCTGTCACGCAGATTTGCCAGGGTGCTTTCACAAATTGCAGGTCTTTGACGAGCGTGACGATCCCGGACTCTGTAACTCACATTGCTGATTGTGCTTTCACAGGATGCAGCTTTTCGCGCGCATGATTGCGACTGTTGACTCTGTCACTCAGATGGGTCAGGATACTCTTGCAGGATGCATCCCTTTGACGATCACGCGATCAAGAAACTAGGTTCTCGCACTAAGAAGATGCAATGTGCTTCGCGCTTGCTCACAAGAGATGAGTCTTCAAGCTGTGCCAAGAGCCTTCCATGTTCGCTTCCTGCAGTGGAATGGGAGTGATGAATCTGCCCACCTGGATCCCTTCTGCATGTTAGGACGCATTTAGTAAGGCAGCGGTTTCTCAAAAGTTTCCGGGGAGTACGGTACTATGGTTTGATCATGCTTCGCAATAAAAGGGGATCATGGGAGGTTCCAGGGACCTCGAAGCCAGGCTGAAAGGAGGCAGAGGTTTGCATGACTGCACCATGCCATGCGGTCTTGGATTGAGGGTTTACAGGGTTGCTGCGGTCTTTGCTCAAGTTATGTTTTGTCGCTGCCTCGAGACCCCTTTGTCATCACAACCTGGAAATTCGTACATAAGTTCCAACCTTACTACGCTGCCCAACAGCAACCTACTTCCGGTGTTGTTCGTGGTACTTTGTGTTGAATATTGTTGCAACCACGAGTAGTATCCGATTCACCCTGACATGGCAACAGCGTGGCATTGGGTCCCTTGTAGCTTTGTAGGATGCACCCCCCGCAGATGAGGGTTGCCAGCTGTGGCCATTCTTGAAGACGAACCTGTCGGCCATGATGGCCGGTTTCTTCGTTCCTGCCAACAGTGCTTCTTTGTGCTCCCCATTGCTATATCTGGAACAAGTAGGGCTTCAAGTAAGGTGTCATGATATGCCTGGAAGCCAGCAGAAGGCCGTCCATCGTGGGAACCTCGTGCGGAAGGTGACGGCCAGCTATTGGGACGGGAAGGTTCTCGTAGTTTTTTGGATTTTGTGTTTGTTTTCGCGTCTTCTGGCACTTAAGTGAACCCGGCTGGGCAGCTACGGCTTGCGGCCTCTTACGGCCTAAACCGGCACTCAGCAAATCTTCATTCACCGGAACTGACTTTAAATGCTCATTCCGAAACGGGGATATGTCAACGGGAAGGTAAGTTGGGACGATCGCGACAGGACCAAGAAACTGCATTTCCCCGGAGACTTGAACCAAATGTCTAATTCGAGAGGGCGTCGTTGCCTTTTCTTAGTAGTCCTAGAGGTGTTTACCATATCCCTTTGTATTTGGATACTTGACTGCCTTAAACTGCAACTCTGCCCCTGAAATAAGGCGTCAAGAGCAAAAGTGTTATGGTATAAGCTTCCTTTATTGGCTTTTGGGTTCAAACCTACACCACCCCAAATAGACATAAACCTTAAACTGCATCTCGAGGTGTAAGATGCTCAAAACAGTTTCAGCCATCGTGCTCACCCAGCCGCTCCCTCTATTCATGATCCTTGCCCTTGGTGTCAGGGTTTTTAGGGTTTTAGGGTTTTAGGGTTTTAGGGTTTAGGGTTTGCAGGCTTACAAGGCTCTTATGGCTGCTCTCCCCCCATCTGCCATTTTGGTATCAAGGCGTCCGGCTTTGGAGCTATAGCAAGCAAAGCCTGAGCCGTTCTTGTAAATTTAGAGTCTAAAGCAGAGGGGAAGGACATAGTGAAGCAGTTGAAAAGAATCAAGCTCCTCGAAACCCGCACTGCAAATCCGAAGCCCTCGACCCGACACCCTAGACCTTAAACATCCTTAAACCCTAGAACCCTGAACCCTGAAGCCTTACGAACCCCAAAACCACCACCCCTGTCGCCAGGAGTGCCACGACGGGAAGTCGAAGGAGGCCTCGAAAGTCCAGGAGCCTTGTGGGGTGTTAAGGGCTGAGGGCCTCTGACAGGACCTTGTAACTGTTGAAGCGTCTTGGGGCCTAGGGTTTGAGAGATGTAGGTTTAGTTTCTTAGCAGGGTGAGCTTTTCAGGGCTCCAGGGTTCAGCATGTGAAAGGCTTAAGCAGAACACTGAGCCTCCCAGCCCGCCGGGCCAGCAAGGAGCTCGACAGGCAGGACGAAGCAGCATCCAAGATCCAGGTGCAACTCCAGGGTGAGAGATGGTTTCGGGATGGGATGCCAGCATCAGAACGTCTCGCAAACAGCTTGCGATCAACGCCCTCACACCCGACACCCTCATAAGCCCGAAGCACCCGGATGATGGGAGTAGGGTTTAGGGCTTCGGGGGCTTAGGGCTTTCCGAATCTAGCCTGGTGCCATTATCCGCTTCAAAGAACCCTTTATTGCCTGGCTTTGCAGGGGCGGATTCTCAGGACGTTGTGCCCGTATCTACATCTTACTGATACCGTATCTGTTTTTCGGATTCTGCTTCCCTGAGAATTCCATTTAATTTTGCAAAACAAGGCCACTTGGTTAACATTAGTTCGCTGGGTAACCTAGACGTTTTGAGGGCCCCTGGTCAAATTTGTAGGTACCGTAGACAAAGCAGTTTTGGGGGGGGGGGGGGGGCGCTCGCAGGAGGGGCATATACAGTGCACATGACTGCATATATGTGAAGCTTACAAGGACTGTACCTTTGCAAGCAAACAAAACTGGAGGGGCTGCCTTGCATAGCTTTGACATTCTGGCATGGGGTTAAGAGGACTTCACTTACGAATCTTTCACAGGGCTGCGGCCAGCCTAGAACAAAACCCTGAGCCGTCGACAGTGAACCCCTCCAAGCCCTGTCCCCTCATCTTGCCACGACCTGCAAAAGGCGAGCATTCGCGGGAACTTTGCACGGCAGGCGGCGGTGTAGGGCATACCTGGCAGGCCTAGCTAACCCAATGTGGGGCTACTTTCCCCCCCCCCCCCCTACCAAAGGAGGCTGCAACCCAAAATTTTTGTTCGCCGGTCTTCAAGGCAAGGTAGGGTTGAAGAGCCTTTCGTGACGTAAGTCGACTCTTTTAGTCAGGAAGGGCAGGGTGGGCATCTAGCGGTTTGAGGGGAACCTTCCGAGAGCCCGCAGGCCGGATTTGTTCAGTTGTTTTGGGGTTCAGGGGTTAGGGTTTGGGGTTGTTTAAGAATCTCGTCTCCCAGCATGTATTTCTCGAAAGGGCGACGCGGAACTCCGAGGTTACGCATTGCTGCGTCCCCCCTTGTCTCTTGCACGCTCACATAAACCTAAACACCAGAAGCCCTACACCTTGAAGCCTAAATCTGCTCTAAGCCCGAAACCAGCCCTGAACCCTAAACCCTAAACGTCCCTGAACCACGAGCCCTGAACCCTGCCTGCAGGAGGAGCACGACCGGCAGCAAGAGGAAGCTGCAACCAAGATCCAGGCGCGCTTCAGACTTTCACGCGCAGCTCTGACCTTGCAAAGCAGGCTTCGGGCGGATAGGGTTTAGGGTCTAGGGTTTGCAGTTTAGGGTTTAGGGTTCAGGGCAGCTTCAGGGCACAGGTATATACAAGACTTGCCGCGTGTTCCTGAGGGCGCCCACCAGAGGGGCGGTGGCCGAATGTCGGGCTTAAGGTTTGCAAGGTTCAGGTTTCACAGTGCATTTGAGCCTACTTACTTAAGGCCAAAATCGCCACCCTCAACCATGGTAAACGGCATTCTCCTTGTTTAAGGGCTGAGGGTCTTTTGGGAGTGGGTGGCCAGCTTAGAAGGGTGTGTCGGAGTTTGTGATTGAGTGTTCTGCAACGCAGACTCCCACATTGTCCTACATCCCAGTTGCGGGCATGATCTGTTTTTTGCATTCCTTGTCCAACTGAGCCTCCCGCCTTCTACGCGCAAGGCACTGTCTATGAAGCTTAAGACGGCGGCTGTTTATGCAGAACGTTCGTTGTCTTCGTCGCTGGAGCCCCTTGAGCCCAAACTTTTGCCGTCATTTGATGAAATGATGGGAGGCGATCCGTCGTGGCAACCTGGCGCGGAAGGCGGCTTCTTTTTGTAGGGGTTGGTATGTAAAGCGGTAGACTAAGCAACAGCTTGCTGTCGGATCTAAGTAGGAATACTTGTAGACAATATATTGATGTTCACATAAGGAACTAGTATAGTCTAAACATGTCTAAACCCCAGACCCGAAACCCTGAACCTGTAGAGGTGGTGTTGAGAGTGTCGAGCTGAACCTCAGACTGTCATTGGCCGTCTGCCTCCGCCCAGGAGGGCCAGAACAAGCAGCAAGAGAAAGCAGCCAAGGCGACTCTTGGGATTCTTGAGAGTTTTTGCCTAAGCGTGTGAGGAGACCTAGCTGTTGAGAGTTTCGGGTTTCGCGTTCGCCTCTTCCGCATGTTCTTTGATTTTATGTGGTTTTGGGGGGTTGGGGTTCAGGGCATTGGCTTAGCAGCCGTGATTTTGCTGATTGGACTGAGATCGTACGGGCCGCGCCCCTACCCTTATGAACAAGGTAGTTTGTACGCCAAATCCTGGCATGAGGGCCCTAATCATCACGCGATTGTCCATGTTTGAGGCGGCTGTCCCAAGAAATCTTAAATCCCTAAACCCTAAGAGCTTAAACCCTGGGGGAGGGGAGGGGGGTTAACCCGAGAGTCCTTTTACTACACGTACTTTGTGCTCGTTAGCTTTGAACTCTGTGTGTCAGGATTTGGCTCCAAGCAAGTAACACAGGGTTCCGGTACTTTTTTCGCATGGGGCGGGGGGGGCCGTTTAGTGGCTAAGTGCAGGCCCACGGCCAGCAGCAGGAGGAAGCGGCAAGCAAGATCCAGGCACTCTTGAGCCCCAGATCCCCAAATGAGACGCGGTCAAAATCACTACTTGCTCGTTTTAGTGGGCGGGGCCTCAACCCCAATCTGAACCCAAGCCTCTAGAAGCCATTGGGTGTAGCTTGACCATGCTGTATTTGTGCATAATATATGTATAATTCTGTATTAACATCGTACTTTTTTGTTCTACTACTTTTCATGTATACATTTGTTTTTGGAATTCTGATGCATTCAGTGTATATACACATATAGGTTATGTACTAAACTGTTATATATACATAGCTATTATGTCGATATTCTGGTCCCTTTTCGGGCCCCTGATATTGCGGGTGCCCCAAGCGAAGCTCAAATTGAGAGACTGGCGAAGATTCCTGTGCGTTTAGGGGTTTGGGCTTGAAGGGCTTTGAGAGACACTTGAAACCCAAAAGCCCCTAACCCCTATAGGCCTGAGCCTTCAACCCTCAAGCAGGAATCCCTCAAGCCTTATTGGGGCAAAAAGCAGAGACGTAAACCCTAAAACCTGCAAACCTTATTTGGGCCAAAAACAGCGACATCCTAAGCTGAGCTATCCGCTCTCTATGAAGAATCTGTGAGTTGGGTGTAAGGGGTTGCCCTTTGAAACAGCGACCAGTTCGAGGATTCGGGGTGTAAAGGTTTAAGGCTCAGGGTTTTGGGTTTCGGGCTTAGGAGCTTAGGGGCTACTTTGTCCATGGTGAACCCGAAGCTCTCTGCCAGGCAAGCCTCCGTGGCAACTTCGCGCGGGAGGCGTTCTTCATTTGTTTCGGGTTACAGCATTGCCTCAAAGCGCTCCACCCCAGAACTCCGACTATACATGGTCCAATCCGGAAAGTACTTGGGGAGCTGGGCAGGGATCACTACCATTAAGGCTCCAAAATGGCTTGCAGAAACCCTCTGTGCGAAGGGCCCTGGGAGCATTTCAGTTTCCTGGTTTCAATTTCGTGTTATGACAGCGTCGGGAGGTTTCTGGACAAAGCATGCATCTTCCATCCAAGCAGTATGTGTAGGACAACAGGGTTGTGAAGTGAAAGTGCCGCAACTTTGGTGCCAAAAAAAGTGGCAATGCAAGCAGCAACAATGATAGTAGCTTCTCTCAAGAACATAAAGCACACCAATCTAGGAACAGTACCATATAGCAACAGCAAGAATACTCAAAGTTACAATGGTGCTTCACCAGGCCTTTGCCTTTCACCTTGAAGTCAGGAGGCACACGACCGGCAGGAGGAGCAAGCGGCCACGAAGATCCAGGCGCATGCTATCTTCCTAAACCCTCATAAGCCCCCTAAACCATAAACCCCATTATCGACCCGAGAGCCCAAACCCTAAAGTCAACCCACGCCCTGACTACATGATCGATGAACCCGAGACTCAGTGAACAAATCAGCTCAGGGTTGTGGGTTTGGCTGGTGAAGCCCTCAACTCTGCCCCCTTAACTAAGTTTAAGGGTCTGACGTTGTTAGGGCTGTTCAACGCCCCTAGCAAAGTCAGTCCCTTGAAAAGGGTTTGGCGCCTGATTCGGGTTTAGTGTTGGGGTCGTTGGGTTCAGGGTTTTCACTGCGCATTGTAGTGAAGGCCGTCCACCGCGGGAACCTGGCGCGGAAGGAGCGTGGGAGAGGTCGAAAGCTTCGGATTCACGTTGCTTCCTGGGGCTTAGGATTTCAGCAGGCCTGCAGGATATTGAATCCGGCTCGAGTCGGGGTGTGGGTTTGTTTTGTAATTGGGGCTTAGAAGGCTTCGGAGTTTGGAGGGTTCAGTGTTGCAAGGGTTTTGGGCCATGAAGGGTTCATGAAGGGGTCCGAGGACTTTGCCGATGTCATGAGATTACAGTAGTATGCGTGGAGGCGTGGCAACGGAAGCATGGCCGAACCCACTCCTTTAGGGTTTAGGGTTTTGGATGCAGGGTTTAGGGTTTAGGATTGGGTTTAGGGCTTATAGGGTTGGGGTTCTCACGAGAGATGGAGGCGTCTCGGTTTGCAAGTTTGGAAGAGCCCGGAAATCCTGCAGGAGGGACAGGAACGGCAGCAGGAGAAAGTGGCCCAGGCGCTTTGTAGGGTGCGGGCATACGTCTCCCTTGAACCCTAAACCCTAAACCCTAAACCCTACTTGGGTGTAGGGTTCTAGCATTTACCGGCTGAGGGCTTGGGTCGTTTGGAGATTGGCAGACCTGAAAGGTGGCTCAAAGGTTTCCTTTCCCATATTCTTAGCACGCTTAGCCTGAAATACTGCGATTCTTTGATTACATCAGTGGCGCAGTATGATCACTACTGTGACTATGATAGTGCTTTCCAGCATTATACTTCTAAGCTCCAGATCATGAATCATAACGGGTTCAATAGTTCGGGGAGAGGGGATTCGTTCTCGACACCTTTAGCCTCAGGCCTTGGGCCGTGCAGGGTCTTGGCCGAATCTGCTGCTCTGTTGCTTCCCATCGGGCCGAACAGCCCCCGGCAACCAGGAGACGCACGACCGGCAGCAGGAGGAGGCGGCTACGAAGATCCAGGCTCGTGAGCCCATTCTTTTGGATCCCCTAAACCCTATAAACCCTTTAAACCCCAAAATGCTCTAAACCCTTCAAAGCTTGACTTTGACCCTTAAAACCATGAGGTTCTTCAAACTTATCCAAAGCGAACCAGCAGAAAGGCGATCCACCGCGGAAACCTGGCGCGGAAGGTGGGCCGCCTTTGCTCCGCTTTTGCACGTGTTGGGGCGTGGCGGGGCTTCTCTCGCGTTCGGGCTTTCTAGGGTTTGTAGGCTTTACAAGGGTTCATGGGTTGGTAAGGGTTTATGAGGTTTCTATTGCAGGGGTGGAGGGATCCAGGGTTTTGGGACTTCAGCCCCTTTGCCGGAATGAAATCTCTGGTGGGATTCCGGGATGGGTGGCTTTGAGGTGAGGGGCTGCTGAGAAGTCGGGGTTTGAAGCCCAAGGGGGCCAAGAGGGCCATGACCAAAAGGAGCTGGGACCAGAAGGTTCCGGGAATAGGGTCTAGGGTAACTATACGAGCGGCGCAGAAGGAAGACTGAGCATCAAACTCACAAGGAGGAGCACGGCGAATGTCCAGGTGGACTAATGTGTCTTCAGTATCATTCCTCGAGCGGGTCTCGCTGCTGCTCAAGACTCAAAACCCTCAAACAAGCTTAATTAAACCCGAAACTGTGCAACCTAAACCCCTACAGTCCCAAACGCGAAACCCTAAAGCCAGCCTAAAACTCTCAACCCTGGCAAGCCCTCAAAACCTGCAGGCCAAAGCCCTTACAGTCCCAAATCCGAAGCCCTAAAACCCTCAACCCTCATAAGCCCTTAGCCTGGCATCTGACTTTCAAGCTTCGTGGAGAGGCGCAGCTGGAGGTACCTGCGCCGGCGCTAGGAGGCAGCTGCGGCTTAGAGTTTAGGTTGTATGCCAAGCTTAGGGTTCAGAGGGTTTAGAGCTAGTGAAAACTTCAGGGTGTCTATCACTGGAGAGCCGCCTCAACTAGAGATTAAGTTTTCCTAAGACTCGAAAGCCCGAAAAGCCCTAAGCCCGGAAAAGACTAAATCGAGCCCCGAGTTCATCATCCTGCTTCCGGATGCCCCGAAGTTCGGGGCTACAGGGAATAGCTGCTCCTGTAGGTCCTTAGGGATTATGTGTTATTCTTGCTTATATAGAAGCCAAACCTGCTAAAACACAGCCTTTTTCCAGTTCCAGCGAGGGCATGATGCAAGTTGGCTGTGAACTTGTGAGGATCACAGCCCCGCAGCCTTCTTAAGTGCCTATATGCTGCTAGAGAGAACCCTGCGTCCTATAACCCAGGACTCCGCCGCGATATTTTGCTGCTCAAGACGGCTGGTGTTCGTAGGTCAAGAGGGGCATTTTTGGGGCAACTGCTGCAGAGAGGAGGCAGGCTCCGGTTTCTTGGGTTTTTGTTCCGGGGTTTGGGGCCTTTCGGGCTTCGGAGAGCTTGAGGACACAGTAGTCATAAGTACCTATTTATATAGAGTCAAATATACGATTTATACTATCACATACAGAGTAATATATAGTAGCGATTAGGGGTCTGCGGGTCCGGCGCTTGCTGTTGCCTTGTGGGTGAGAGGTTTTGGGTTTCTAGGGATTCAATCTGTAGGTGAGGGGTTTAAGCACTCTGCATGGCACGTGGACATGCAAGACGACTGTGGGGTTGTTTTTAAAATTTCACGGTCATCCTAAGCCAATAAGGCTTCATGCCTTGCCCTGAGTCATCCTGAATCTGAAGCCTCCTTAAACATCTAAGAGCCTTAAGATTTCCAGGGTGAAGGGCACGCATGCACCTTGTACGTCTGAAGGGCATAAGGGTTCTGAAGTACGGGCCACAGGGAAGAGGAACCGCTTCTGCTTAACATGAAGGCCCCCAAAACATGGGACCTTACAGATGCGTGCGTGCGTAGTTTGGAAGGGGCAGCAGCTTTTATGGGGCGGTCTGCGGTGTGTTTTTAAGCTTTGGCCCCGGTCTGATCAGAACCTGCTGCCTCCGCGAGGACGAAGTCGTCGAGTTTTTCGTGATGTTCTTCTTTGGGTGCTTCTAAGGGGTTCATTTGCGGGGTATAAAGCAAGGTTCGAATCTTTCGCAAGTCCCGTTTATGGCATAAAAGCAGTTCCCAGGCCCCACCCGGCCGTACCCTCAACCTTAAGGGGCTTTGGGTTCGGGGCTTGTGCCCAGGACCTGATTCTCCTGCAAAACCCAAAGAAAGAGTGCCGGAAAGCCTCGGAGAGAATTCCTTGGCTCTCTCAACCATAGCCCCCATCACCATGCGCTCCAAACCCTAAACCCTAAACCCTAAACCCCAAACCCTAAACCCCAAACCCTAAACCCTAAACCCTAAACCCTAAGCCCTAAACCCTAAACCCTAAACCCTAAAGCTAACAAGACCCTGCAAGGGCCATGAAGCTGAACATCGCAAACCCCACCACGGGGATGCAGAAGCCGCGCAGCCGCAAGATCCGGCAACAGCCGGCTTTGGGGTTTAGGGTTTAGGGTTTAGGGTTTAGGGTTTAGGGTTTAGGGTTTAGGGTTTAGGGTTTAGGGGTATAGGGCTTACAGGGATTATGCAGAGTTTCGAGTTTTAGGAATACTTACGAATGTAGGCTTTGGGCTTGAGGGTTAAGATTTAGGGCGCCTTCATTCTGTGTAATGAGGCAGGCTCTGTTCCTATACTAGTAGCTGGTTTCGACCTGGTCCGAATTGACAAGTGTTGGCGGAATGGCAATGGTTGTCTTTCCTGCCTCAGTCTTTTAGGCTACATGGCAAGATAGGGTTGATGTGGTTGCGGTTTTATCAGATGTATTACATGCTGGCTTCTAGCTTCGGCAAAGTCTCCAGATTGCCAGAACTCACCCCCAGACCCCTGACCCGCACACTCCAGAGCCAAGGATGATCGAGATCGACGACGACAAGAAGCTCTACCCGCTCTTCGACAAGCGCATGTCGGCCGAGGCGACGCTCCCGGGTCCCAAATCATCGCATCGTTCTTCATCTTGTTCGTTTAGCGCGCTTCGACCCTAAACCCTAAACTCTGGCATGACAGTCGCTGCCCTTGTGAAGAGCATCTGCAGGGGAATGTCGGGGCCATTTTAGGCGAATAATCGGGGAGCTCGCCTTTAGTGATACAACCTTACTATTAGGGGTACGATCCTGGGATCCCTCAATGATCCGGGCTATGTGTCTGTTGGGTTAGGGAAGCCGCGATGCAGCCTTCCCCAACAAAAATCCCTCAACCTTAAACCCGACATATCCAAGACCCAAGCCATAAACCTAAGACCTAAAGGCAAGCAGCAACAGAGCCTCAAGGGCTCTTGCGGCAGGTCTCGGGCGACTCACTGGGTGACGACTTCAAGGCCCCAAGCCCGAAGTCGTGTAGCGCCGATATGGTACCCTTTTTGGGGTTCCTTGACAAAAGGATTATGTAGTATGTTGGGGTACATAAGGGGTAACCTATTTCGGCAATCCCCATATCCAATATATGGGTTTCGACCAGTCGTGGTTGAGGGTTTAGCTATAGGGTTCAGGGTTTCCGGCAGTAGCACCCAGTACCCAGTAGGCCCTTGCTGGATTTCTGTTTACTTGTTTTTTGTCTTATTGTTTCTTTCATTTTAGTTTGTGTGTTTTCTTGGGGGGGAAGAGTCACCTAAACCGAATAAGCCAACAATCACATAAACCCTCAACAACCCTAAGCCTTAATTTGAGGTCCGAGCAGTCCTGGTCCTTATAGACTTGGTCTACCTCCCCCAAACCCCAAACCCCATTCACACCCAGAAGGCCTAAACCCCTAAACTCCTGCGAACCCACAGACTAAACCGTACCAAACCCCACCAAATCCTGCCAAACCCTACCAAACACCGTTTCTTCCAGGGCTACATCTTCCGCATCGGTGGCGGCAACGATAAGCAGGTGGCATCCCCCTTTCAGATTTAGGGTTTAGGAAAACGACCCCGACCTCCCACCCGCATCAAAAGTTTTCCCACTCAGCGTGTCGCAGCATGCCTCTGCGGACCATGGTTTTTTCGAACTGTCATTGCTTTTAGATTTCTGGGGGCACCTTGTCTCTCACTGTATGGGGTCTATGGCCTCCTAAGATCCAAAGCGTAGGGGGAGAGGGTGGAGTCCTGCAGCTCTTTGCCAGTTCTTAAGCTGCCCCTTGTGAAGGAGTGAGTAAGCCCTCCTATTCGAAGCGCTCCCCTTCTCTCTCTCTCTCTCTCCCTCGCTCTCTGACTCTCTCTCTCTCTCTCTTCCTCTCTCTTTCTCGAGATTCTTTTGCTGGGGCTCCTTTCTCCTAACCACAAACCCGAAGTTTTCTATCCTCCCTGATAGACTGCATCCGGTTTTGAGAGTTAGAGCTTTTGGGAGCTGGGGTGCCAGGGTGCTACCCAAACCTGATTCCGACTGATTTGCTTGAATGTTTTGGATAAGAGCCTACATACAGGAATGACTGCTGTGAACAGTAGCACTTAGGATTTGAGGCTTCTGGTCCGAAATGCAACGGCGCATTTTGATCGACACGCAGATCGCCAGGGCTTCCCCATGAAGCAGGGCGTGCTATGCAACAACCGCGTGCGGCTGCTCTTCAAGAAGGCCCCTCTGCCCCCAAGCCTTGAAGGGAATATTGCATGTTGTTAGGGTTTAGGGTGTAGGGTTGATGACTCCCAATTTCAGCGTCATGAACCCCTAGAGAATAAAGAAAAAGCCTGATTCGGGGCCTCACTTAAAAGCCTCAATAATGGTGACGACTATATATCCCATGCCCCTAAACTCGTCAGCCTATAGAGCCGAAATCCTCACCCCGTCCGCAAGGCCTCTGGACTCGTTAAATGCCGAAACCCCCGACTCCACCTAAGCATCCGAAATACACTTTTCTGTCTTGGCTGTGGTTGTAAGACCGTCTCTCAGGTAACCTACACAGCGTAGGTTTGGCACTCGTAAGGTGAGCCTTACTTGCTGCTTCAAAAAAGGAATTTCCAGGGACTTAGGCAGTTCCCCTACACCCCCTTAAGAAACTCCTTTGAGAAACTCTACAGGGTTACCCGCTCTTTCTTCCCTAATGCCTTCCGCGTGATTTTGCAAGCTTCTCCTCCCTCAACCCTAAACCCTAAACCCTAAACCCTAAACCCTAAACCCTAAACCCTAAACCCTAAACCCTAAACCCTAAACCCTAAACCCTAAACCCTAAACCCTAAACCCTAAACCCTAAACCCTAAACCCCTCAGGGCATGTCTTGCTTCCGCGAGCGCCGGACTGGCGTGCGCAAGAGGAAGTCGGTCCGAGGCACACGGGTTTAGGGTTTAGGGTTTAGGGTTTAGGGTTTAGGGTATAGGGTTTAGGGTTAGGGTTTAGGTTTTTCAAAGGCTATAGGGCTCAGAGTAGCTCTGGGATTGATCCCTGGTGTTTCCCGCCTGATGGCAGAAGTCTCTCCTACCAGTACGGATTTCTATTGCTGATTCTTCCGGGTAAACTGTCCTATTAAGATGGTACGCTAGGCACAAAGTACCTGGTAGCTGGGAAGCTGTTCCCGTCCAGTCCCTAAGTCCCCTAACCGCCCTAAACCCCCCTCCCCTCGCCCCCCCAACCACCGAAACTTCCCTAAACCCTGAACCCTGAACCCTAAACCCTAAACCCTAGAGGCCACTCTCCTCTGCAAATGCAAGGCTGCATCGTTGGCCCTGACCTCGCTGTGCTCAGCTTGGTCGGGACCTTAGAGGCTGCGAGTTCTTTCAAGTCGACGGATGTGTTTAGGGCCTTTAGGGTTTTAGAAGGGTTCAGGGGTTTAGGGTTTTAGGGTTTTGGGTTTGACTCTAGACCCGCAACCCTGAAACGCTCATGAAATCAAAATCTCAAGGCCCGGCTAAAGATTTCTTCAACAGTAGAAGCAGAATCTCCAAAGAGCGCCGGAGTGCCTGGAATGCCCTAAGCTCTCTAAGCTCAAAACATCTCAAAACCCTAGTTCGGCCCTACATACCAGACCCTATAGACCCTAAACCCTAAACCCTAAATCCTAAAGCCTAAAGCCTAAACCCTAAAGCCTAAACCCTAAACCCTAAACCCTAAACCCTGAACCCTGAACCCTAAACCCTAAACCCTAAACCTATAGACCCTAAGCCTGGAGCCCCGAAAGCAGCGGAAGCCTAAGCCTCAGAGGTCATGGTGAAGAAGGGCGAGCAGGACATCCCGGGCCTGACTGCGCCTGGGCCCGCGATCGAAGGTTTCAGTTTAGGGTTTAGGGTTTAGGGTTTAGGGTTTAAGGTTTAGGGTTTAGGGTTTAGGGTTTAGGGTTTCGGGTTTGTTATTTGATCAGAAGAGTCATCATGGAGGAATCAGGATTTGGGGTGGGGGGGGGGGGGGGTTAGGGGTTTAGGAGGTTTGGGAGGTTTGGGATGCGTGGGGTTCACAAGGTTCCTACGGTCTTATGGATCTTAGGACTCCTTGGGGCTCCCTGGAAATAGATAACCTTCGCCAGGTTTTCGACCCCACGTCCGAAATCGACAACCCTCAAACCCAAACTGGGTTCTTGTTGAGGACTTCAGCTATGTTACCCATAATAAGGAAACCAAGCTATGTACTATGGCAACTTGACGTGTGTAGGTACCTTAGCAACCCAGAGTAACCTACAGTCAGGGATTTTCTGCAAATGCGGGTTCCCTTTTGCTGGTCATTTCATTAATGGAGATTCTGCTACATTTGCGAGGGTACCGCAAAGCCTTACAAACACCACGGGCCAAACACAAAACCTAAGATCCCAAGGCCAAAAACCTAAAAGACCCTGAATTTTACTAAAGCCCTCCTGCCACCGCCTATCCCCCCCCCCCCCCCCCCTTGCTAACCCCTTGGGCCCTGAACCGTCTTGTGAGAGCCAAGGACGATCAGAAGCCGAGGCGTCTCGGTCCGAAGCGGGTCCGGTGCCCCAGCTCTCCAGTTGCTGTGTGTTTTTTTGTTCTGTCCCTCTGTCTGTGTGTGTGTGGGTGTGCACATAGGCCTCCAACATCCGAAAGCTCTTCGGCCTGGAGAAGAAGGAACCCGGATGCTTTTGCTGGCAGGTTTTGTTAAAGGGTGTTGGTCTTGAAGATAATGATTTTGATTTAGACACCTTTTTGGTTTTGGGCTAGAAGCTACTGGAGGGCTGTTTCGGCTTAGGTATCTTCACAGGGCTTATTGAGGTTGAGGCTTGCCAGAGGGTTGTTTCGAACGCTGGGTTTTCAGGGCCTAGTAGATGTAGGAAGTCCGCGTTAAGGATGTAGAGTGGGTTGGGGTGGCGTCGAAATTCGTACGCTGGGGGTTCTTTGGGGTTTTGGGTGGTCAGGGATACATGTCTTCCTTTGTGCAGGGGAAACGAGGACGCGAAAGCTCGGCAGAGCTTCTGATGGAATCATCTTGCAACCTCATCTTCGCGGCCTTGCATTTGTTTCCCAAAATCCGCAACATAAAGCTAACACAACAAGGACTTCCGGCCTCCTGAGTTTGAGGCCTGAAAGATGTTGAGCCCCCTTGTCTGCACACCCGAAGGATGATGTGAGGCAGTTCGTGGTCCGCCGGGAGATCAAGGAAGGCAAGAAGTCCAAGGCGCGCAGGTTCAGGCTTTGAGGGGTTCAGGATTGCTTTCTGGGCACAAGCATTTCAGTCTATAAGGCTCTGAGATGTAGCTGAGAAGCCCGTTGCGTCTCAACACGCGCTAGCAGCAAAGCATGCAATCCACTGAACCCAACTTGAAAAACTTAAACCCAAAGGGTTTAGGGTGCCCTAGAGCCTGAACCCTACACCCTAAACCACACTTACCACACCTCAACCGTAGAGCCCCGAACCTCGTTTAACCGTCTCCGAGGGCCGAAGGAAGGGTCATTGCAGATGTGCTGTCGACGTATGTCATTCAGGGTATTAACTGAACATCTTACAAAGTCATATGTTCTGTGGTCGGGGAGACCGAGCCCCGCGAAGGGTTGCGGATAAAAGCACCGAAAACCCTCAGATCTAAAGGGCTTACTGTATCTAATACCCCCAGAAATGATTCGAAGCTTTATTTTTTCCTCTGGTTCTCTACGGGAAGTAAAAGAATACCCTAGAAGCCATGAGCCCGAAGAACGAAAAAGGCACCGAAGATCCAGCGCCTGATCACGCCCTCCCTGCTCCAGCGGAAGCGCTACTTCAAGGCCCAGCCTCGTGTGGGTTGGGAGAGGAGAGGGGAGGGGGAGCCACCTGGATCCGCCTAAATCCTGAACCCCCCCATCCTTCTACCCCCTTAAATAAGCCTTAAAGCCTAAACCCCAGAAAAGATGAGCTTCAAGAAGGCCGTGGTCCGAAAGCGCATGGAGAGTGGAAAGGAGGCCAAGGCGCCACATGCGCAGGGAGAGGGGCTTAAGGGTCTGGGCCAGGCTTGAATAGGGCTGGGTTCTGGGGTCGAGGGTTGAGGCTTGAGGGTTGAGGGTTGCTAGGTTCTGGGTTGTGTAACCGTTTGCATCCCACAGACCATGGCATTCCTTACATGTTCTTCGTAGGGAAGTAGGGAATGAGGGTCCCTAGCCACTCCAAAGCGGATTGTAGGGGGAGTATATGGCACCCACTTCACCTCACTTGCTTACTCAAGTTAGTGGCACCAGGCACTAGACTCTGAGATTTGCTTTGGCTTGTGGGGGCTCGAGAGTCCCAGGCCGAAGCCCTAGCGAGCCCTTTGAAAAGTAACTCCAGCCCCCCCTAAGCCCCTCCGCAAGGTACTGTTACCCTCAAAAGCAGATACACAAAAACTGTCTGGCGTGTTCTGTGTTGTTTGGGAGGGGCCTACCCCATGGCCTGGACTTCAGGCGGCCTACCAGCAGCGTCTTGTGGAGTACCACCACGAGCAGCGCGAGGTGGGCAGAGTGCTTTAGGGTTTAGGGTTTAGGGTTTAGGGTTTAGGGTTTAGGGTTTAGGGTTTAGGGTTTAGGGTTTAGGGTTTAGGGTTTAGGGTGCTGTCGCAGCCCTCTAAGACTCCTCAGAACTTCAAGAGGAGTCTTAGAGGGTTGAAGAGCTCAGCTGTTTCTTGGTGGGTAAAGGGCTTTGGAATTCTCAGCAGATGTTTAGGGTTTCGAGGTGTTGGGGTTTAGGAGGTTTAGGAGGTTCATTTCAGAGGGGCTGAAGCAGATGAAGCCTGGGCAGCAAAGGGACACAACTAGAAGTACGATCTTTCCATCAGGTGTTACAGTGAGTGCCAAGCTACGACAAGGATCTTAGCCTCTAAACCACAACCTTTCTACACAACAACATCCCTAAACTTTAAACAGCAAAGCATCTCAAACTTTTAAAGCTGGGTTTCATTTGAGACAAAGGGCCAAGGCTCGACATGTAGATACTGGCTTTACCCATGCTTTCGAGGTCTAGAGGTAGGAACATAATGGACTGAGTCCCGCATGTTGTCGTAGCCTTCAGGCCGGAAACCGTGGTAAAACCAAAAGGGATAAAAGGCCAGTAGTTGTCAATGTGTTCGCAGGTGCGGGCGGCTGAGCTCCAAAAGAAGAAGAAGGCAAGGGTTTAGGGTTTAGGTTATGGCGTTTTTCAGAAGGTTTGGGAGATGTATATGGACAGGAAGACTTTCAGAGCTTTGCAGGATTGCGACGAGGGGAGTGAGGTGTTCTGGTAGGTATTGGAGAGTGCGGTTCGAGGTTTGGGGTTTAGAGTTGTTGGCCAGGCCATATCTCGCCCCCTCAACCCTGAGCAGGTCTTCTGAGGAAACAACCGAGCCTGGTCCCTGAGCTCTGAATTCCGAGTGCATCCTGATCATGCTTGCTCCTTATAACCATTGTGAAACCATGCAGGTCCTGAACCCTTAAGCCAAGATTGAGCCGGTCGAGGGTTTTGACGCGAGCACAACCACTTCCAGTGGGGCAGGTTTTTGGGAGTTATGGTGTTTACACATGGCTACTCCAGGGTGTAGAACTCAAACCCAAATCCAAATCCCAAGCCCCTTCAGCTAGTGCTGTCAGGGAAAGAAGTCCGACGACTGAGCCGAGGGTTCCGACAGATGCGCATCTCTGCCTACGATACCCAAAAAGAACTGCCGGCGATTCAGAGCTCTAGCGGGTGAGGGGGTTTAGGAGTTGTGAATTTCGGCTAAATAGGGCTTGCGGTGAACGAAGCCTGCACATTACCATGATGGTACCCTCTTATCCTCCCCACATTGTGATGGTACGAGCCACCTGGCCCAAAGTACCCATTTCCCTCGTGATTACAATGAATGTACGAGCCAATCTTGTTTCACCTTCAACGCTCAAGACTTCGGTCCGCTTTGCCCGGAGTACCCATTCTATAGTTAAAATGGCCTCCAAAAACAGGGTTCAACGGGCTCTGAGGCAAGTGTTTCAGCCTAGAGTTAGCTGTTGTGGCTTCTGCCACATCGTGTTTCTTTGGAGGCCGCAATTCCAAGACGTGCGCCTAGGAAAGGGCAGTAAACCTCAGATCAACCCCAATCCCGTATACCCTAAACCTACCCAAAAACATAAAGGCCCTGCAACACACTTTCGCAACCCCGATGGCCCCATAAGCCCTATACGCCCAAAACCCTGCACCTTAAAGCCTAAACCCTGAACCCGAAGTCTATGCACCCTATCTACTACATGCACATGCACACATATGTTTACATATAGATGTGTGTAGTCTTATACGCATATGTATACACATCTACAATATTCAAGCTAAACACACACACACACACACAATATACCTGGCCGCACAGGCGGGGAGCGCCGGCGCAGCAGCCATCGACTCCCCAAGTTGACTGAGGCGCATTGCGGGCCTGTAAGAGCTCTGAAATATCCATAAAACCTTCACAGGACTGTAAGCCCTCACATACAGTACTATAGTCCGCCTAGAAGAGCTAAGTCACAGATGCAAGCCCGAATTCAGCTTGAAATCCTCATGACATTCCGCAGCCCGAACACTTGAGACTACCTCAGACTCCCGGTGCCCCACCCCTCTCCCATCCCCTTTACGCAGGCATTTGCATCTCCTAGCCTGCAATCTTCGTTGTTGCAGGGAAATTTTACGATGGCAAGGCTAGAGGGTGTAGCAGTGGAAGGAGGGGTTGTAGGGTGGGGGCTCTGCCTAGAGACGCAAATAAACATACCACCACACAATCCTTACTTGATTAAAAGTTTGGGCAGTTTCACGATTAGGTATCTTCGATGCCGCCCAAAAACCGAAGCCCCAAACCCTGTTATGCAGGTTGGTTATCCCCAAACCCCAAACCCTAAACCCTAAGTTTCCTTGGCATCTACCTGTTAGGAAGTGTTTTGGGGGTCTGCCAGGTCCAGTGGTCGCATGCTGTGCAAGTGTCGGCCCCTCAGTGTGTGAAGGCTTCTGTGCGCCTTGACTCCGACTTAGGCAACCGAACCCTGCGAGCTTCATGCTACAGATGCAAGACAGTAGCATGTTGTAGATCGACATATACATATGTGTGTATATATATATATATATGCACATACATACGTATATGTATAGTCCGTTTCATGCGTTTATGTACATCTGCACCTGTGTAGTATATGTATACCGATTATTATTCAAATGTGTGCTCGTGCATGAATAGTTGCACGTGCAGTTGCATTTTTCCCAAGCCCTGTGACGGGATGTTAGGGTGTCTGTTTTATTGTCAGTGACAGTGAAGGCTGGGACCAGTGTCTCCGCACTCATAGATTGGGTTCGTGGAGCCTTACGCCCCTACACCTTTGAAGCTGTAAGCCATAGACCCTAAACCCTAAACTACGGCACACGGCCACGCCCTTGCAAAGCCCTCTTGCTGGAAATCCCAACTCTTAAGCTCACGTCCCAAAGCCTTCAAACCCTCCCTAACCTCAACAAAAACTGGAACTCCTAGAAATCTCAACTCCCCCCAAAGCCGAAACCCCAAACCTCTCCCAGAATTATGCGAAGCTAGAGGCCTGATCGCTACAAGCGCGGTGCCGTGCGAGTGGTTCAGTACCAAGAGATGGCTTGCAAAGAAAGCCAGTTTCGGGGGGTTTGGCTGAGGCGTATAGGGTTCAGGGGTTTAGGTGTTGAGGGTTTATTGTGGGTTTAGGGGTCAGGAGCATGCGGGTCCACATCGACGAGTTGAATCATGCGAGGTTCTTTTTTTACATAGGACGGCTTGCAGTCACAGTGTTTCACAGTGCGCGCGCGTACGCGCGCCTGTGTGTGTGTTTACAAAGATACATGCGGTAGACCTACGTGTGTGGAAATATACATATATAAGATGCGCATATATCACCTTTGTACAGTACCACCCCGTATTAGCCTGCCTTCTTGTTTTGACCCCAGCCCAGCATCAACCCACAACAAAAAGGAACACACACCAAACTTGGTAGATCAAGGCGGCACTATAGCGCTATGTATACTTATACATGTTTTTGTAAGCTGTTGTATCATGTCAGCATGTCCGCACCCCTGACCCTACAAACCAATTGCAAACCCTAGAAGCATCCTAAAGCCATCAAAACCCAAACCCGAAAACTTCTGCTCATCCGAGAGTCCCTCAGGACGCCCCAAAAGTGCTTGCAACGAACTAAAATACCCGCAGTCCCGACATAAACCTTTCAGGCCGAGACGCACCGACGCGCCATTCGACTGGGCCAGTTGCGCTCCTTGAGCGGTCTGGTGGAGGAGGCAGGTGCTTCTAAACCCAAACGTAGCTGGGAGTCTAGGAATTAGGGTAGGGCTTAGGGCTTAGGGTTTTGGGATTAGGTTGCGCTGGGTTTAATACCCCTCGCCAAGCAAGTCTCACCCTCTATGAATCGATTTCATTGTAACCCCCCCCCCCCCCCCCCCAATCAAATGTCGGGCATGTTGCCTGGGCAGAAACCAGGCCCTTAGAGCCTGAACTTCGGCTTAAAAGTTCCTGCCTTCCTGGCCCTGAAAACCTGAAACCTTTAGGGGCTTAAGTCCTGAGACTTTCTGGCCAAGCTGCCTTGCCTTCCTGCCCGAAACCCCAAACCCTTGTCGGAACCGGGATTCGACACCGGCGAATTTCCAATCTCGAAAATTTGAGGGGGGGGGGGGGGGGGGGGGGGGCGGAGGGGGTGTTGAGGTTTGAGGGTTCAGGGTTTAGGGTCTTTAGGGCTTTTCGCGAGGTACCCGAAGAAGGTGTTAGAAGGAGCTGGCTGTGCTCCTTGTACTTTTCTTCACCAAGGGTTTAGATAATTCTGGGTGGCCCCAACAAGCACTGGAAAGTAAGTAAGCCCGGAGCGCCTTAGGTCATAGGCTCCAGGAGCAACAGCAGGGCTTGGGTTTGTAGGGTTCAGGGCTCAGCATCATCCCAAGTCCAACAGTTCGGATCGAATCGCATGCAATGCCACCCGAAAATCTCATGTCATCCCGCGCATAGGCACGTGCCATACTTAGAAGGTTTTTCACGCTACTTTTGTCTCTGCTGCTGTGGTTCAGACAAAGGTGTGTGTGTGTGTGTGCATACGAGCGACGATCCAACCTCGTCAGGTGCTCCGGGTTGTGGAGGCATCGCCCTGCTCGAGGGTAAATTCAGAGTTCCGGATTCCCGGGTTTGCGCAGGGTTGTGGGTTTGGGGGCTAGTTCCCCAAGCCCTATAGACCCTACCAGGGGCCATTCTTGAGCTCTTAGAAAGTTCGGGTGGCGCAGGCCCAAGCAACTTGCAGACTCCAAAGCCCAAAGCCCGATGGCCCAAAGGCCCTCAACCCGAAAGCCCTAGAACCCTAAGACCTTACACAGCCCTGAAACACCCCCGAGGGCCCAAGAGCCCTAGTCCCCGAAGCCCAAAAGCGCCCAAAGCCCAAAATCCTATCGCGAGCAGCGATTTTTTGCTATGAACTTGTGTCACGGAGTCGAAGGCCACGCTCAGCCCCCGTGAAACCCCGAGGTTTAGGGTTTAGGATTCAGGGTTTTGGGTTTAGGGAGGTTTAAGCTGATTCTCAACATCCGAAAGCTCTGGGAACCCCGAAGGTCAGCTCATCTCCAGGCCACCCAAAGTACGTACCCCAAACAGCTATCAACCCTTAAACCCTCCTAACCCCGGCTTCAGGTGGCTGACCCGAACCCCACCACGAATCTGGGTCGGCTCACTTTGCAAAGCCAGGGGCCCCAGGGTTCGATGGGGGTTAGAGTCCAGCGGCATGTAGTTTAGCCATTTAAAGTTCTGGATTTGGGGATTCTGGCGTTTCGGGGCTTAGGATGGTTTAGGGTGTTGGGACGCAGGGGTTGTTTGGGGTTTGGGGTAGCCCTCCGCCCTACACCCAATCCATGCGAATCGGGATTCCCGATGGTGCTGAAGCCCTGACTTCGCGATCCTCATCCAGCCCGTCCTCATTGAATCATCTGAACTGAACATAGATAAAGATGACGAATAAATAAATAAATATATATACAGATATATGTATAGAGAGAGAGAGACACGGAGATTTCGATGTAAATATAAATAAATAAACAAATAAATAAATAAATACAAAAAAATGAATAAATATACAAATATAAATATAAATATGTATATATATATAGAAGCTTATGCTAGAAGCCTTATGTCTGCTATAGAGCTTCCCCTCAGATGTCAACCTCTATCACATGAACGAGCTCTTCGTCCTGCGCCTCACCGAAGCGGAGGCTCCCTTTAGGGTTTAGGGTTTAGGGTTTAGGGTTTAGGGTTTATAGGGTTTAGGGTTTAGGGTTTAGGGTTTAGGGTTTAGGGTTTAGGGTTTAGGGTTTAGGGTTTAGGGTTTAGGGTTTATAGGGTTTAGGGTTTATAGGGTTTAGGGTTTAGGGTTTAGGGTTTAGGGTTTAGGGTTTAGGGTTTTCGAGGTTAGGGTCTGGAGCGTTAAGGATATTGTCGTTAGGGTTTGCAGTCTATTTCACGTGACGCCCCGGAGCAGCCTGAACCATTTCAGAATCGCAAGCTAAGCCCTCAGAACCCTTCTGGTGTGATGTTTGGGAGGCTTCAGCGCTTCTCACTGCTGATGTTAGTGTCTCTTCCAGTTTAGGCATTGCTGTGTAT